TAAAAGCCGAGAGCTTGCTTTGACTCAAACGCAACCTGCCTTTTTCTTTCCTCCCTTTGGGGGAGCTCAGTTCCTACTATTGTACGCTGCTGGGCATTGATCCAAGCCTTTCTCAATTATCCTAACAGATCACATCTTGGTCTTAATTGCACGTAAGCAGTTGGCACAAATCTCTAATGCCGTTCAAAGTTCACAAATAATGTGGAGTATATTGCGTAACCTTTTGATCCCTACAAAACCCAAAGTGAAGTTTCTAAAAGGCTTCCTCTTTCACCTTCTTACCAACTCGGCCATTTTTTGGGGGTCAGCCAGGTGTCTGATATATATGGAAACCCATTACTGTGCTTCAGAAAATCCCCCAAAATACACAGTCATTGTTATACCCACAAAATACACACTCAATCCACTTTACAATATATCCTTGTAGCACTTTGAAACGTCTCAACAATGTGATGACGTGCTGTATCAAATGCAAGGATTATTATCATTAAGAAAATCCAAATCGGCCATAGTTCCATGTATGCTACCTCCACCGTGGAAATTCCCATGTCTGGAATGGAATGTGCACTTTCTCCCTGAAGGGACCCTGCTTTACTTACTCTGGAGAGTATTAGGCACAGGTTGGCAAGAGCCAAGGCTTGGGGACTCCAGTGTGCGCATTAGGGTATTGCTATAATTTAAGCAGCTAATGTCGCATAGCTGGTCATTGAGAGCACTGTCTGGCAAGCATTCCTGTTGCATGTCCAGCTAGAACCATGCTAACTGTTAAGACTGTGGCTTGAAAGCTTAACAGGAGTTGAGTGGGAAGAATCCTCATTTCCAGCATTGTTGTTCTGCCATAGAACAATTCCTTCAGTAAAAATGTTACCAAGAAGTAAACAACAGCATTGCACCAAGTTGAACATAGGAGGCCTGAAATTCCACCAGTATCTGGCATGTGATACCATTTCACCTTCAAATTTAAGATGACACTGAGTTGTGAAACATTTTTGAAATCGATGTTAATTTGGAAGCCATTTCCTGAGGTTCTTGAAAGAAAACTGGTTTCCAAACTCAGACTTGCCACTTTAAATTGTAAGCCAAAATGCTCTAACATGCTAATTCTGGGTGAAATTTTAGCTCCAGGAATTCCCACATATATAAACCACATTGCGTCACCACCTTTGCCCACACAACACAGGCACTACACTTTACAGTGTATCCTGAGAAGCGTTTTGAGATGCCTTGACGACATGAGGTGCTCTTTCAAATGCAAAATTTATTTAGGATTTCAAAGAGAAAAGGTTGATTTTGATGAAAGCTGTAAAATAAAATAGCTGTTGCTAATTGAAGAAAACCCAGAGACTTTCTTCTTGTTATCCTGCTTTATATCTGACTCCTCATCCAATTTTACGCCGAAAATTAAATTACTCGGCTGCTCATCTCATTGTCAAGGGGACATCACTGGGACAGATTAGCTGCATAGTTTGCCCTGTATCACCGATCACTTTCAGTTCCAATCAGTTGTGTTTTGTGAAATGCTTCGAGGCATTTATTTGTCCATGAAAAGCTATCTATATAAATGCAGGCAAGTTATTATAGCTTGAGTCTTTGGTGGCATTTACTGTGGTTTACATGAGCGCTCATCTGCGGGAGATTGAACCTCGTGGAGGTTTTATTTTCATCAGAGATGGTGCTTTAGAGTTCTATCAGAATGCTCTCTCAGCAATCAGACTGGGAAATGGATTTGTTACATGAACATTTTGTGCAACAGACTGGACAGCTCCCATTGTTAGTAAATGCTCATTGTGTCCGGGAGCGTGACTATTTCATTCTCATCTGCAGTTTTTATTAATCGAAAGAAAGGCTATCCTCCCAGGGAAAGGAGGGGGTGGAAAAAGCGAGAGAGAAAGAAGGAGGGAGAAAGGGAGAGAGAAATATGTGGGGTCTCATTGGAGCTAAGATGGCTCAATGGTGATGTGCCAATGAAATATCTAGTCCATCTTGGTGAGCCAGGAGGGTTCATAGTAGTCGAAGGCTTCATTGATGAAAGACCAGGGACAAACTAGTCACTGGAGGCAAGGGTTCTTCCCATTCAGCTTCTGCAAGCCAAAGCCTTAACAGGATAGTGCGGTCCTAATTGGACAAGCAATGGGAAGCTTGACTGCTCTAATTTCCAAGCTATGTAGTTTTAGCTGCTTAAACTCCAGCATTACCCCAATGCACACTCTGGGATTTGCAAGCTTTGACTTTCACCAACTTGCACCTTTTTCTTTCTGGAGTGACTTACCTCCCCACTCCCTCCTAACATAGCCGTTTGTTTTGGAAGCAAATGCAAAGAATTGTTTAATTGTTTCACCCACAATATACAACAGTCAACTCACTTTAAAATGTGAAACAAAAACAGAAGTCACTGGGAACGCTCAGCAGGTCAGGCATAGTAATATTATTATTAGTGATTTGTTGCCGAATGAACAAAATGTGTTGTTCTTTGTTAGGGGCTCTGAGACACCACCCGGCGTGGAGGGCGTTATATAAGTGCAAGTTGTTGTTTTGATCTTTCTAAAGCAGTTCTAAATAATTTAATTATTTTATATTAATTATTACGAGAATAGGAATATATATGCATATTACATTAATATGCATATTTATATTAATTATATAATTCCATATAATGTATCATTAAATATTTCAGCTTTCCAAATAAAAAATAAAATATATTATACATAATATAACAATATTTATAATGTACTTTTGTTTTTATTTAAAAAATCGAATATAATAGTTTAATGCATTGAGATGGAAATAGAAAAAACATTTGACTCAGGAGATAATAAATCCATTGATGAGTGTGACTGTGATGTCTGAATGGCTGTCAGTTCGTGTTATTCATTTCCCGGTGGAGATTAGTTTTAGCTCTGTGTGGTATGGTGTGTATGTGTGTGCTTATCAGAAGAAGCTCTCAATTGTTGGATGGGGCTAACATCGCGCATAGGGATGGCTAAACAGAGGACAGGGCTCTCACCCACATTGTATCCGCTAGACGAGATGACTTTGGCTCAATGATGTTCGCACCTCGAGATCCAGCTGAACACGATGCAGGAGGCAGCTCGACCTCTGATGGCAGAGCACTGCTGGGCTGACCTCCTCGTGACCGAAAGGTCCTTGTCCATCGCAGTGAATTTCCATCAGACGTCCACAGAAGTAAACAAGTTCCCATTCCCTTAGTGTAAAGAGGGGCAGGATGGCTGCAGTGGGTGAGGTAAGAACGATGGAGTGTGAAAACGTGAAACTGGCTGGTTCTTTTGAGCCTCGTCCTGAGAAACTGATGAGGTTTGTGCGTTGTGCTATTCATCTCCTTTCCACGATTGAGCTTCCGTGCCCCCCCTCCCACTCCAAACCATGATGGATCGTTGACAAAGAAGGTCTCCTTGGATCATTTGGTAAATAACATATGTCGGTTGGTCGCACTCTCATCTCTGAGTCAGACAATTATGGGTTGAAGTCCTGCGGCGGAACTTTGAACTCGCAATCTAAGCTGGCACTGTATTGTATTGCAGGGCTGGGGGAAGGGCTGTTTGTGGTCAAACGCCCTTCTGACACTCACTGCTCAGCTCACGCCTTTGGCAGCTTGTTCAAGGAAGGCAACAAGACACCGCAGTGAGAGCAGGTTGGGTCCGTGCCTCTCAGTGTCCCCACTTCCCTCATTTGCTGTGGATTCTCCGCAGCGGAGCGCAGAGCCCACACCTTGGAAGGACTCTGACGCTGACTGAATAGCAGGAAGAATGTCCCTTACGCATCAAGGTTTAAATGCTGCTGTCACAAAGTTGGCTTGCAATTGAAATGCAAAATGTAGAATTCTGATTGTTGAGCAGCACGAGTGCTTTCAAAGCTGTCACTTACACCAGCAATATTGATTTACTTTAACACCTTCTCTCGGGCTTTACTTTTTGTTTGTTTCTTATGTTCGACTTCAAAATACATAGTATTTACACTTTACAGTAAAATCCCATGTACCGTTTTGAGGCGTCCTCCCGACACGAAGGCCATTGTACAAAATGCCACGATGATGATTGTTTTTATTATTATTATTGTGTTGTTGATTCTTTGTTTTGTAATATCAAATTCTTCCCAATCCTGATTCCCCGTTCCCCCGTTGCTCTTTAAAAGTCACTTTGCAATTCTTTTGAACGTATCAAAAACATCTTATTTCCCATTTGCACGTTTGAGCGTTCAATTAAATCTAAAGGGCGGGTAACTGAGTAGGTATCAGGATCTATTCTCAGTCTGTGCTGAGTTAGTTGATCTCAATCTCATGGATAGAATGTGGGAACTTTAAACTGATCTCAATATCTGAGTGCCAGTCTGAAACACAGCCAGAGCTCCCTGTTCCTGATCTTTACACAGCACCAAAATGAATGTATATTGTATTGAATGAGATGTTAAACCGAGGTCCCATCTGCCTGTTCAGATGGACGTTAAAAACCCCGTGGCACTATTTGAATAGAGAAGAGAGTTTTTCCCAGTGTCCTGGCCAAGATTCCTGATCACCCACTTCATGGCTGTTTGTAACATTGCTGTATGCAAATTGGTTGCTGCGTTTGCCTGCAAAATACACATTGCATTACATTAAGTCCAGAGGCGTCTTCCTCATGTGAAACACCCTATATCAAATGCAAGGATTATTATTATAATTATGATAATAAAGACCGAACCTTGGCAACACCTGAGCGTTGGGCGTCAGGAGAAAGGAAAAATGCTTGAAATTCGCAGCACTGACATTTCTCTATGATCATCACAGCAATGTGTAAATATGTCAAGGAAGTCAATACTTTGGGATGATCAGTGTTACATAGGAACAGGAGTAGGCCATTCAGCACCTTGAGCCAATTCCACCATTCTATTAGATCATGGCTGACTGCACCTCAACCCCAAATAAGTGTTGGAATATAGCTTGGTAATTGGGCGAGTGGCTCCCTTCCGTTCCCCCTACATTATCTTTTCTTTCTGTTTGTTTTCAGGCCACCCACACGGGCATGCGGACGTACATTTACAGTAAGAACTCTCTGATTGGCTCGCAGGCGGAGCACACCGGCATGAGAACCTACTATTTCAGTGCAGACACTCAGGAGGACATGAGCGGCTGGATCAGGGCCATGAACCAAGCAGCTCTCATGCAAGCCTACACTCTGAAGAGGTCATTCTGCTTTAGCTTATTACCTTCTTACCTTCTTCCGAAGGGAGAGACTGTCCGACGCACGTCACCAGCCTGAGCCATGGGGGCCTGATGTGGGATTTGTTAATGGGGGCCTGATGTGGGATTTGTTAATGGGGGTGTCAGCGATAGCTTGTCTCCCCAGCCTGCCCCAGCCCCACCTGTCCACTGCCTCCAACCCCCCACCCCCACCCCCCCAGCTCAGTCTGTAACGCTCTCGCCTCTCCGCCAGACTAACGAGTCAACACTTCCTGCTCGAAACACGGAAATGGTGCCCCATTATAGCACCAGTTGAGGTTTTTGGAATGCAGTGGTCACTCAATCCGTGACTGTTTGTGGAACAGAGCTGAAAGCATTGGCCAGGAAACGGTTAACCCAGCGATGTTCCACCTGTTCAGCAATCCTGCCCTCGCAATCTGTCTGAATTGTGATGTGAATGTCAGATGCTCTCTGTGTGTGTGTACAACCAGTTCAGACTTTGGGCGACGAGTAAATTTCATGTGATTATCAAAGATGTAAACATCATGTTAATTTCACGCTGAATTTGCTGCGCGATTGTCTTGAACCAGGATCCAAGTGTGAAATACTGACTTTTTTTAACCGTGTAGTTTAAGATGTGTCTTTCTAACCTGTAGCTTGAGACTTCGGAATAGAAACACCTTTTGCATTCCTCATGAGTTTACAGCTAAAATATGCATGGATTCTTTTTCTCACAATAATAATAAATGCACACAGTCACACACTCGCGCACACAGCTTCAGAATTTGAGAAATTAACCCCGTCAGGATGATATACGAACGATACCCTTGTCAGTTTGAGAGGTTGTTAAACGAAGTGTCACCGACTTAAAACTTGAGATGATAAATTGGCCGTCATTTTCAAGACACAGGCGAGCACTGCTGGAGGTTTTATTAAACCTGTACAGTGACGCCCTCTGTTCCTGGTGTCCTATCACTGCCGCACATGCCTGTGATGAAAGGTTTTAGCTGCCATTTCCCAAATTTCTTTGTGCCCCCCTAACAAAGATTATCTTTTGCACGACCTTCACATATCAGGTCAGACATGGGAATCCTTCTGTTTCCCTTCTGACCGGCCACTTCTAGGAATGGGTCTTGTTTTAATTGGGGGTTCAGTAACTTTCCAAATAATAATAATAAAAATCCTTGCATTTGATGTAGGCCTTATCACGTCATTGGGACGTCTCAAAGCGCTTCACAAGATATACTGTAAAGTAGTTTATCACTATATATTTTATGGGCGAAACATGGCAGCCAGTTGCGCACAACAGTGCCCCTCAGAGCGAGTGACCGATTTTACTGGGGGGATTCTTGGCCAGGACACAGGGAGAAACTCCCTTCTCTTTTCAACTAGTGCTATGGGCTCTTTAACGTTCACCTGTACAGGCAGGCGGGTCCTCAGTTTAACATCTCGTTCATCACATGGGTCTAATCAAAGGATTGTAGGTTGAAGCCCCACATCAGGATTTCAAGCTCATATAATCTGGGTTGATATTCTCTGGGAGGAGCACTGCATTGTCGGAGGTGCCATCCTTCGGGTGAGACATTAAATTGAATTTTATACCCAGCTTTTGAAGATAAATTGCCCTTTGTTCATGTCCTGGTTTTACAGGGAGACGGGGAAGGAAGACCGACCACTCCTCGCCCAGAGCAACCACATCAACGTGTGCAAGGGGATGGCCAGGGCTGAGGGCCTTCAGAACAAAGCTGACTCGAGGAGGCCGGACGAGACGTTTGGGTTCGAGAAGCGGGAGGAGATCAAGAAGGAGCGAGAAGATGAGGAGAGGTACGGCTTCCGCAAGGACACGGTAGAGATGGCTGTCGGCAAAGGCGGCAGGAAGAGAGCTCAGGCCAGCCCCACGCAGAGCGACGAGCACGCCGCCCATCCTCAGCTTCTGCCTCGGCACCACCCAGCCCAGCGCAATGGGACGCTGCCTCCCACCGCGCCCAGCGCCGGGCCTGCCGAGCGGAATGGAGGCGCTGTGTACCGGAGGGGCTTTGTGCCCCGCACTGGCACTGAGAAGAATGCCCAGCGGAAGAGCTCCCTGGCACAAGTGGAGCAATGGGTGAAGTACCACAAAACAGATGGCCCGAGGTCAGTGCTAAACACTCCTCTCTCACCTCTTAAACATTGGGAAATCTTCCCCGTATTAGAAATAATATTATTAAATATTTCATATTCAATATTAAGGTGGCTGCCACGCTTCTGTAGAAAAATCAAACAGGTCGCTACGCTCGTTCCATAATTACTGCAAAACCTGAGGCACGATCAAATTGCAAATTCTTTTTCTTTCTCTATTGCTTTGATTTCAATTGAATATTAAATCTGCCCGTTCAGGTGGACATTAAAGATGCCATGCCACTATTCAAAAAGAGACATGAATTTCTCTCTCCTGGTGTCTTAGCCGACAATCCCCCAAATAAAATTGGTCGTTCACTTCATGGCTGTTTGTGGGACCTTGCTGTGTGCAAATGAGTTGCTGTGTTCGCCTACAAAATACAGTCACTACATTTTTACAGAATGTCTTGTGAAGCACTTTGAAACAACTTCCCAATCTGTATCAATGTAGAGATTATTTTTGATTATTTAATCATTATTCATTGCTTGAAAACTAAAACATTTGTGATCTGATGCATTAAAGCCAATTGCCGTATTCACCAATAATCCATGCATTTGATGATAATCCTCACATTTGAAATTGTATTCAATGTCTGTTTATATTTATCCTCTGTCTGCACATATTAGTCACTCTGTTACAGACCCACCTTTCCCTTTACTTCCCTTTTCCTTTCAGAGTTTCAGCCTAGCACAGTAGGTAGCATTCCCTCCTCTGAGTCTAAAGATTGTGTGGGTTCAAGCCCCATGTTGGGAATTTTGAACTCAGTCAGTAAATACGACCCCACACTGCAGCTTTCTGATTGATTTGAAGGTTGTGACCAAACCCAGGCTACCCATCCTCTACAGTCCTGGCTTGTCCACTTACAAAATACACAGTCACTACACTTTGAGATGTGCTCCCAACGTGAAAGATGCTACATCAAATTCAACGTTTATTATTCTTATTAAGATCATTATTAAATAAAATAATAGTAATTATTAATAATAATAGTTAATTGCTTCCAACAGCACAACTGAGGCTATGTAACGTGGCTGTCTTAAGACTTGCTCAATGCTTTACATTGAACGAATTGAAAAACATAAAGCAACGTGGCATTTGTGTTGATCACTTGAATTTAAGCTGATATTAACCTAAAGCCCAATGGTACCAGTCTCACTGTATGTATTAGTTGGTGGGATCATGGTAATTAAAGGGGTGTTATCCTTGCCAAGCACTAAGCACAATGAGGACAATTTATATGTATTTATTCACAAACTGCATTCTAATGTACTTACCTCTGTCAAACACTGAGCCCTGATCATTATTAGGAGATTTAACAGAAACCTGCCTTTAATAAGCCGTGCTTCCAGATGCATATCTTCTCTTTCCCCCTCTCTCTCTCTCTCCCCCCAATTTCCAGAGAGAGGTGCATACCTCCCCGCCAGGCATCTCTTCTATTTCTGCCACTCTAAGTGTAACTTTTCCTTTGAATTTGAAGTGCCCTTTGGTTCACCCAGCTTGAAATATCTGTGCGTGTGGGGGGGGGGGAAGTGGGGCGAAGGTATTCTCTAGCTGTGTTTATACGGCCCAAGGGAAGACGAGCGCATTCCACTCCAGATACAGGGAAATTTCCACCTGCAGATAAGTTAATTCACTTGTGGGGCTCTCCTCCACACTTTAAGATACAACTCTTCCCTTGGGTAGAGGGATGTAAACCACAGGGACGTCATAATAATCCTTGCATTTGATGTAACGTGTTTCCCGCAGTCCATAACTCCATCTCTCAGTCCCTCCGCCGCGCCCCCTCTTTTGCCTCCTTCAAGACCCATCTCAAGACCCTCTTCTTCGACCGTGCTTTTGATCACCCTGCTTCCCCACCTGCCCTCTAGCCTCCCCAATCCCGACCGCCAGCTCGGGTCCGAAACACTAACTGTCCAGCACCTTGGGACGTCCTCCTGACGTGAAAGGTGCTATACAAATGTAATTTTGTTGTTGTTGTTGTTTCATGTCATCGAGACATCTCAAAGCATTTTCGTAGGATACACTGTAAAGTGGATTCACTGTGTATTTTGTGGGCGAAACACAGCAGCCAGTTGCGCACAGGAATGTCCCACAAATATCTAAAAAATGCAACCCCCACCTCCCACCCTCACGCACTCCTCGGCACTGCATTGAAGCGTCAGCTAAGACTATGTGATTCCAAGACAATCTATTGAGAGTGCTAATACTGTCAGGCTGACACACATACTCTTGAAGTTAGAGCTAAGATAGTTCAAACATTAGAGTGAAATTGGTTTGACGTTAGAGTTACGTTTCGCACAAGCCTTTTTTTCCCCTAAATTTGATGCTTAACTCTGTGGTCTTGTTGCACCACCCAGTGGCAGAATTTGGCAGAATTCAGACTGGAATAACATTCATCAAAAACCAGTGACATTGATGCTTCTGAGCCCGTTTTTAGTCTGGTTGGAACAGGGAGGAAGAGGGAGAAAGTGTTTGAATTTTGAATGTTTTTAAACCGGGGATTTGCCACATTAGTGTTTCCAGATATTCTTTCAGATCATTTGTTTAGTGTCTTTTTTTTAGGAAAAGCAAATCTCTGGCCTGAAATTAGCCTGTAAGACCATTTTGTCTTGAATTTTAAAATGACGCAGAATCATGGAATATTTTTAAATTAATTAATAATTAATATCGGGACCAATTTTGCCAACAGCAACGACGGGTTGCACTAACATAGCGTGGGGCAGTGTCCAGAATCACTTCACAGTGACGGGGCAGACACAGACCAAGGGGTGATGGCCGTGCAGGGTTTGGTGCGGGTGAGGCCATAGAGCCCCTGTTTGCACTGAGCAATGCTGGATTGAATGCAAGTACAGCAGAGCGCCAGTTATTCACACGCTAATTGTCCACAAGTCTGTTTATCTGCATCCGAGCTGTGATATCAGCAAAAAACTGCGCGTTTTTTAAAAAAAACTTACATGCGGTAAGTAAAATCCTGTGAAGCGCTTTGAGAATGTTTCTATCAAACGTGAGGATTATGATCATTTTACCAGCTGCAACGAAAGAGATTCATCCTTATTTCTTGTCTGTTTTGTTTTTCTCCCCCTCACCCCACCCCCTCGTGCGCCCCCCCACCCCCCACCACCAGCCTGGGGCCCACCCAAACACTTCCACACCGGACCAGCCAGTCCCAGCCCTACCCGGATGGCTATCAGACACTCCCGAGGAACCTGGGGGAGAGCTCCCCTCCTGCCGGACAGCACCTGCCCAGCGACTATAAATATGCCCAGGACCGTGTGCTGCACCTCAAGATGTCTAACAACGAGCGCCAGGCCACCAAGGATGGCATGGTGTGGCAGCTGTACGAATGGCAGCAACGGCAACAGTTCAAGCATGGCAGCCCCACCGCCCCGCTCTACCCCCCGCACGACTTTGAGATCGCCAAGGCCACGCTGGACGCCCCCCGCTCTATTTCCGTGCCCCCGTCCCCCTCGGACATCCCCCCGCCACCTCTGCCAGGACCTCCCAAAGCCCTCTCGCCCCGGAGACCCCACAACCCGGCCGACCGGGTCACCATCAGGCCCCAGGAGGGCAGGGCCACCGAGGTGCCTTTCCTGGGCTCTCCCACGAAACACCGGGGGCCCGTCGCCAAGGTAATGCCTCTCAATACCACATTTCTCCCACCTTTTCCTGGCGCCTCAACTTGTAGGGTGGCCAGGTTTTGTAAACCAAATCCAGAAAATCCGCTCTAGCCGGTTCACCCCGGATGAGACTCCCAGCCCCAGATTCATTTTTGTCTGAATTAACAGGCATACTTGTTTTGAAATATGCCTGTTAATTCGGACGAAAATCCGGTTAATCCAGGCAAAATGATCGCTGGTGAATGTATTCACTCAAACCTTCAGGATGGCGATGGGAGAAGTCACATTGCGATTAACAGAGGACTCTAGCCATTCACAAGCAACTTTGGGTGGTGGTGTAGGGGGTGGCGTGTGGTGGGGTGGTGCAGTGGCAGCATTCAGCAGATAGGAGGAGAACAAATAGCGCGGCTCGGAGGTGATTGACACCAGAGCCATTGCTAATTGGTTCCCAATGGGAATGTCAATAGGAGGGAAGAGGCGCTCAGCAAAGACAATAGCACAACAATAAATTGCGTTTAAATAGCACCGTCCACATAGGATAGCGTCTCGGAGATTAGGGGCCACACGAGATTCTCCTGCTGAACAGCAGCTGGACGATGGCCCCTCCCTCGCGGGATGCCCTACCGCGCTTTTACTCCATATCCCGTGTTTTTCAGCAGACCGCCGCCCACGTTGACAGGCGTTCGATGCCCCCCATGGGTTACATGATGCACACGGTGAGCGCCCCCAGCCTGCATGGGAAGACGGTGAGTCCTCGCGGTGCGCCCCGTACGTAGGTAAGGCCGTCCTCGCCCACCTCCTCGCAGCGAGAGTTAACCAGCGACGTCGCGCCCGCACTTACCATCACCACCCCTCCCGCTCCCAGCACGGTAATTGCTGGCGAAACCTAAACTCCGGGGTGTGGTTCGAGGGCCATTTCTTGTGGGCGTGAGGGAGCCCTTCCCCCGACCCAGGCTTCACGTTAAACCATGAAATAGCCACTCTTTGAAAGGTTGTGATGGAGCGGAGTCTTGAGGTTTAATGACAGAAAGCCTGGCCCAGGGGCCTCCTCCCACGGTGAGTGGCTTTATCCACTGTCATTCCAAAGCCAAGAGGCCACCAGAGGTGAGGGATGGGGAAATCATCTATTGTTCCTGCTCCTGTGACCTACACTAGGAAATGGGCAAGGTATTGGCAGCAGGTAGGGAAAGGGCTGGTAGGGGTGAGGAGGGGACAGAGGGTGGGGAGGATGGGTACATTTCCAAACCAAACAAACTTTCCTTCATTTCTTAAATAAAGGAACCTGTGTTTAGTATCACAATTTTGACATTACTCTTCCCTCTCTTAACACCCCCCCCCAACCCCCGCCCCTCTCACCGCACTATAAACTTTAGCGACTGAGACGATTTCACTGCGGCGAATTTGACGGTACAGACAGTAACCGCCCGCCCTCCTGCTCGCTGGCTGTGCCCCGGCTGGTGGCTCAGGTTGGCTGGAGACACCTTGGGTTGCGTGCGCTCGGTTGCTAATTACTCCCCACTTTGTGCCACCTGTAGCCAGAAGAACTAACCTTGCTTCTGATCCGACTGTGGAGACACCAGTCACGCCTGGCGAGTGCACGAAATCACACGCTCGCTCGGTTGCATCTCGCTGAGCCCGACCAGATCGGGCTCCAGGTCAGCAGCCGACCGGCTGGTGCCCGTCACATCTGCTAGAGTTGCTTGTTTGTCCCTGGGTGCTTTGTGGCGTGACATTCCTTTTAGTCTTGTGCTTTGATGTGGCTCCTTTTTTATCTGTGTTTTTTTTGAGTGCCGTTTTGTGCCCCTTTGGCTTCTCACCCCCTGCCCTCCCCTGGCCCGGTCTGGCCAGGCCGCGCTGCTCTCCTTTATAACATGTCCGGGGTTTGTGGAAATTACAGCACAGAAAGGAGACCGTTCGGCTGTTGAACCAATGCAGTGATGCTCGTTCCATCCCTGAAGCTGGTTGCTCTAATCACGATTGCCTTTAACATCGCTTCTCGTCCTATGCTCCAAACGTTGCTCTGACCTAAGCCTCAGGAGCCACTCGCTATTGAAGCTCCATGTGTTATGCCCACTGGCTGTAAAGCAAAATATTACTCAGCTGGTCAAGATGGTTGTGAGTAGGGAGTGTATGTAGGGCGAACTGGGAGGTGGTGGGGGGCGAGTTATTCCATTCACCAACCACACTTTGTCACATATCCATTCAGCACCCCTCCCCCATCTTTCACGTCGGGAGGACGTCCCACACACAGTCCGTGGTTTGCTGCGAATGAAAATGTTTGCACCAAAACATTTCACCAGGATTTTTTTATGTGTCAAAGGATTAGCTACGTCACTTTCTCAACCATGGGGCAAAGGCAGAATAATCACAAAAATGGTTCAAGACGCCTGTCCCGACTGACTGTTCAAAACCTTAGAGGAGAATTGCTGTCGTTTCAACACAGTGAAGGAATGGTTTGGAATCAAAGGCTTGAAAATTCCTCGCAGGATTCAGCCTCAAACACCACTTTTCTCCTCAAAAATATTAAGAAAATGTCTTAAATTACATCTTGCATATAGTGAGCCATCGCAGAAAGAGCAAGATATAAGCAAGTTGTATATTGATGTACACTGGCTCTTGTTTCCTGCTTGTCCTCTGCTCCAACATCGTCAGCTGCACTTTCAGCCACTACACTCCGAAGCTTTAGAATTCTCTCCCCCAATCCCTCTGCCTTGCCCCCTCCTTCCCCTCTTTTAGATCACGACTGACGTCCTTCCTCTTCGACCGTGCTTACAATCACCTCCTCCCTCCCCCCGGCTTGGCGACAAGCTCCAACACTGTTAAGCGTTACGGTACTCTGCCCCGTGTGAAGGGCACTGTATAAATGCACATTGTTGTTAAATCCAGTCTGAATTTGGAAGCCGCTTTTCTGCTGTTCCCTAGGCGGGGAGTGGGGGGTGGGATGGGAAAAACTGGTCCAAATTAAGATCTACTGATTCAGGGAGTTTCAGGGAAAACATTCTGTAACGTCTTAAAAATTAAAGACTGTGATTCCAACGTGGAGCCCGTTGAGCTCTTCAGGCTTCTGCTGTGCTGTTGTGTGCTGCACCACGTTGCTCTGTGTGCATTCAGTGGCTTGGTTGGAGGATGGGGTTCAACATTTGCTTTGCGTCATATGTCTTTTGTGCGCAAGACATCGCTTTCTCAATGCCCTTGAGACCCAGAACTTTGCACCTGCAGTGCCTCACGCTCCCTTGATTCGCCTCAAATTGAACGCCTCTGGTAAAGGGGGAAGCCCATCGTGGGCCGGCCATAGGGCACCCGAAACATGACCATTTCTCGCTAACTTGTTTGGAAAACGCGTGGAGTTGGTCTTCATTTGGAAGTTGTTTTCCTTTTTGGATCTGGCTTCGGGAACTGGCTTCCGTATACAGTCCAGATTTAAGGATTTTTCCACAATTTCTGCGCGTGCTTAAATTAAATTTCACGCTGAAGGATGGGAGACGGCAGGTTTTGATATCACCGAACCTGCATGAGCACAAGGATGGCAAGGCTCAGGGCATCCCGACTTGCAAACCGGGACTGCTTCCGGAGCTGGGACTCCGCTCTGATCCGATGGGTGTCCATGTCGGTGGGAATTCCAACCAGGTTTTTAGATCTCTCCCTCCCCCGTTAAATGGGGAGAATCTGCTTCTCCAAAAAAAAAAAGCTGTTTTGTTCAAAGTTCTGGAGGGTGCAACGTGTGGTGGATTTTATTTCTTGCGCCTGATGTGGTGTCCGGTTGCCCTTGTGATGGTTATGATGAGCCCCTTGTTAAGTTGGTTACATTGACTGATTTTTCACTCTTTGCTCCGTCAGGCTGATGACACTTACATGCAGCTGAAAAAGAACCTGGAGTACCTGGATCTGAAGGTGAGTCTTAACACTTCCACATCTGCTCTCCTTCTCTCCTCCCTCCTGCCTCTCGCTCTCCTTTATCCCCCACCCCCTTACTCCCCCTGCTCCACCAGAAATAAGTCAGTAGGTCATCTACGAGATGTCTACTAATGTGCGAAGGCTGGGCTTCCCGTTTTTTTTCCCCTGGATCCAGCAAGATCGGCTGTTTGTGCCAGAATGAGCACAGGAAGAACAGCAAACATCCCACAGACGAGCAGGAGATGGTCGGTACTTCTCGGTCAGACTGAGACCTTTGGAGAAATGGCTTAACAAGGGAGAGACAAAGCGTTGAGCTCTGATATCCAGCGCTGAATTCATCTTACCATCTGTGATCTTCCCAGAACCTCTCCTCACCCCCCCACTCTCGCCTTCAGCTTTATTTGTTGTCTGTCTCTTGTCGTTCAGTGAAGTGACTGAATCAGGTGTTGTGTTCAGTAAGTGTTAACGCTTCCCTCTTGTTCAACACATGGACTGGTTGGGGTGGTGGCGAGTGGGAGTTTCGTGCTGTGTGACTTATTCCTGTCATGTGAACCCGTTGTGTAATGTTGTGTAATGCAGGGAATGAGACTCTCAGTGCTTATCAACTTCTTCACTAACACACTTAGAAACTAAGAACAAGTGTCACCTTGACGCAACCCAGTTGATTTTGCCTCGAGTTTATCTCAAGCCTTGTCCTGATTCATCTTTTTGTTTGTGTCAGAGGTTTGGGAAGCAGATTGAATTTTATGCTCTGGCATTCAACTGCTCTTGATTCCTGTTCAGGGAGTGATGTGGAATCTTTTGAAGTGTAATTATCCATAATGTGAATTGAGAGAGCGATTTGATTTCAATGTGGTTCATTCGGATGCCCTGAAATTCATACAATAATAATATTATAATAATCCTTGCATTTGATGTAGTGTCTTATTCACATTGTTGAGACGTCTTAAAGCACTTCACAGGATATACTGTAAAGTATATGTAAAGTACAGCATATATTCTGTAAAGTATGTGTATTTTGTGGGCGAATGCGGCAGCCAATTTGCTCACAGATCAATGTCCCACAAACAGCTATGGAGCGATTGACCAATTTTTAAAAAAATTTCATATTACATGTTACATTTTGACAACTCTCTCCTGAAATCCGTCTGGCTACCCTCTTTCCACTCTGCTTCCAAATCCTGCCTGAAGTCCTGTCTCTTTGACTATACTTTCAGCAACCTCCCCGCTGAGTTTCACTCAGTATTTGTAAAGCGCTTTGAGACGTCCTGTCAATGTGAATGCGCTGTATTAGAATATGTTGTTGTTGTAGCTCCTTATGGTGTGAAAATGTCTCAAATCACTTCACAAGTAATCACTGTAAGTTTTGTGACTGTATTACGCAGGTAAATTCAGCAGGAATTTACGCGGAAAGAAGTTGAGGTCCATTATTTGGGTTGAATTCCTAGCTCTCGTCCAGCAGGTTTAAAGCCCAGCAAACAGTTTTCCGCTTCACCCCGATGAGGAATAGATATTTCCGAGAAGAAATATTTTCTCAAGCTCTTGGGGTTTAAATTGTGGGGTGAGGGCGCCACCTCGTGGCACAGCCCATTCTAGCACCTCCGCAGTTCTTGCAGGCAAGTGGTTCGGAGTGTGGAAGCTTCAGTTACGTGAGGCCACGTTTCAGCAATTACAAAGCCGTCTGTAGGGCCGGTTTAACATAGAGTTTGCAACCACGGTTGATGGATGTTCTAAGGATTGGGTCGGAAATGCAGTTAACCTGTTATTCCGAAGGGACGAGTGGGGTTGCAATTGTTGCACTCAGTGACTTACTTGGGAGTGAAATGGGCTGGGGTGGGGGGAGCGAATGGTAATGAAATGTACCCTCTTCTGTTTGGAACAGATGAAGTGTAATGAGCCTTTGATCGAGATGGTTCACAGAATGATCATGGGACCCTCTCCGAGGTTCCGACACAGTCTCCAAGTAAGACTGCCTGTTCCGTCCGGGAGAAAGCCGGGCAGCAAGAACCCACCAAACCATTGTGCGGCTCTCCCATCAGCAGCTTGCTTTGTTCTTTGCCATGTGCGAGACATCCCGTGTCTCTCCCTCCTTCTTGTGTCATTTCTGTGGACTCCAAAGGCATTGCTGTGACACATTGGCATCCGTTACTGAGTGGCAGGCCGGCTGCGTGGTGTGCGTGTGCAAGTGTATACGCTTCCGTTTATGTATATATGTTTGTGTGTGAGAGACGAAGGAACTTCCCTCCATTAACTCCGCCCGCACTCACCTTCAGTCACATCAATACATATTGGTACAAGTTGGCCCCAAGTGGACTAGGTGTGGAGTTTAACATGTACTCACATCGCACATCGCATTGCTTGCTGGGCTTTACAGCTTGAAATACTGTAAAGCGCTTTGAGGCTTCGCTGTCATTGTTGTCAAGTGTAGTAACTGTTTTTGGAGCCAAACGCGACAGTGAATTGTGGAGGTGAATTGACCAAATATTAATCTGGAGGATTGTCGGCCAGGGCACGAGCTGAATCTCTCTCCTCCTCCTCCTCCTCCTCGCTTAGCATCGCGGGGCCTTAAAACATCCCCTGTTCGTCACCGCTGGCAGCGCTCATGTTATTCTGCACCAGGTCCCTTGAAACAAATGAGCTTGAACCCTCGATCACGGCTTCACCTCAGTTGTGTCATGTGATGCGTGTGACTATGTGTTCTAAATACAATAACTTTCGTAAATCTTTTGATTTTTCAACTGGAATCTGGTTTGCTGCCAGCCTCCCGCTCGCTGTGTTTTCACTCTGTGCTGATGTCTCAGTGTTTTATTTTGCTGTGTCTTTTCACCCTGTGTTGATTTTGTTGTGTTGATCTCATTGTGTGTGTTTTTTTTGTTGCCCCCCCCCCCCCCCCCCAGGTAACGGGACAGGAAACAATCAGGCGTGTTGTGCAGCCGATGAAAATTGCAGAAAGTGATGTTGATGTAAGTGAAATACCTTTTCTTTTCTTTTCTTTTCTTTCTCTCTCTCTCTCTCTCTCTCTCTCTCTCTACCTGCCTCCCCACCCCCCCCCCCCACACACACACACACACACTAGCTGTTTCTTAGGCACTGGCTTGTATTACGATCCAATGTTACCAGTGCCCAAACATCACAGGGAGAGTTAGCAGGTAACTCTGCTGTTGGTTCAATGCAACCAAATTCTGGTTATGTGGTTGTGGGTAGCCCTCTTTGGCCGTGCTAATAGTCTCTTCCTTTTTGCCCATTTCCCCCTCGCTCAGTGTCCGATCCCAGCCTATGTAAAGGGTGCTATATAAATTCAAGTTTGCTGTTGTACAGCTTAGGTCACCTCTGCCTAACCTGCAGTAGTGGGCGGAGTGGTACATTTGGTTGAATAATATCAGTAAGGCTGGAAATGCAGTGTTAGCTACTTCACAGGCCTGGAGGCTGAGACCTTGCACACTGGGTAAGTGAATCCTCTCTTTTGCCTTCAGGCGAAGCTGAGCAGACTTTGTGAACGGGACAAAAGTCTTCAAGATTTGGAAATGAAAGTCAGGCAGCTCAAGATGGACAAGGTAATAATAATAATGATAATAATCCTTGCATTTGATATGGCGCCTTATCACATCTTCGAGATGTCTCAAAGCGCTTCACAGAATATACTGTAAAATGAATTGACTGTATATTTTATGGGCGAAAAAGGGTAAAATTAGCCCACTTTATAAAGGGTCCCCCAAGTGTAGACAACATGTGGCTGCTTTATAAAGAATCCACTGGGTGTGGATGGCACCAGGCTACCAGGTGATGTTGCTCTGCTCCCAGCTCTTGCCTTCTTCTCATCTGGTCTTCTCCTCAGGACAAGCTGGAGTCAGTGCTGGAGGTGACGCACACGCAGATGGAGCAGTACAGGGGGCAGCCCACCCACACCGACAAGATCGCCTACCAGCAGCGGCTACTGCAGGAGGACCTGGTTCAGATCCGAGCGGAGATCTCCATCATCTCCACGGTGAGCTCCGCACGTCCATGTCGTTCTGTCTGAAAACTTAATCAAGTCTCATATATAAAATGGAAGTTGTTGTTGTTGTTCTGTGGCTGTGAGTGTGTGTGTGTCCTTGGCTTTGTAGCTGTCTGTGTCACTAAAAACAAGGTAATTCTCCTAACCTCTCCCTTCGCACTCTGTTGACCTCTATAGGAGATGGAGAATGTGTGGAAGAAATACGAGCAGACGGAACGGGATGTGAACCAGCTGAAGGAGTTGATGCTGGAACATCTGAGAAGAGTCCCGAACTCCCAGGTCAGTGCTCGAAAGGATGTGAATGGATGTTACTTTTCTTAGTATGTTTGAGCTTCCGAAAATAGTTCCTTTTTGCAGGAGGTCGATATTTTGTCCACCAGGAATTATTATTATTCTTAACAATTTTATTATAACCAGTCCATTGCCTCGTTTCTGTAACCTGATGATTGGTTTCTTGAATCAGGAGCAAGTGCAGATAAGGAAGGATCTGCGGAGGATCGAGGATGTTATGGGAGGGCTCAGTGTGAGCAAAAGCAACTACAAAGTGATCATGGAATCCATCCAGAATCCCGGTGAGTCAAACTGTAACTGGTTTAGCCCCGGAATTTGTCCCCCAAACCTCAGTGATTCTGTGATTCCTTCTTTTCCTCCACCCGCTCCACACTCATTTAATTTCGGAATTTCTTTATAGACCGAAGAACCGTGCCTTCAATGCCTTCCTCATCAGTGCCTTCTTTCTCAACTACATCCACGCTGTATGAGAGGAGAGCTGCAAATCAGCTGAGCCCTCCAGTCAGTCCAGTGATGCTTTCGCCTGGGCCCCAACCTCAGACTCAATACAGACCTCACATTCTGCCTCAGTTCAGGCAACAGCCAAAGGTGGTGAGTGTTTCTGTTAAAAGCTACCAAGCCCAGAACGTTGATTTTCCTCTGGGTGCGCAGGAGATTGGGTTCACGGTGAAAGAGAAATTAATGAGGAATAATCTTCACAATCGCATCCGCGAGGCCTTTCACGTCAAGAGGATGTCACAAAGCGCTTCATAGTTTCTACTGTAAAGTGCAGTGACCAAGAAGCTGAATCTTAGGTTCTGAAAGGATCTTTTAAGGAAAAAGCCTGGCTCAGTGGGTAGCACGCTCGCTTCCTGAGTCAGAAGATTGTGGGTTCAAGCCTCATGTCAGGACTTTGAGCTCACATAGTCTAGTCTCATGCTAAGCTTGGGTAGGGATGCATTTTTGGAGGTGCCGATCTTTGGCAAACAGGTTAAACCAAGGTCCCGCCTGCCTGTTCAGGTGGATGTTAACGATCCTCTGGCACGGTTCGAAAGAAGAAGGGAGTTTATAATTGCGATATTTGGGAGGAGGAGTCGATGCGCTGTGATTTTCTATATCTTATAATTCAGCGTTGGATGTATCAAAAAACTGTTAAATTTGCAAGATTCGTAAAGCGGGAAAACTGGGAATGGCAAATGCCGGAGAAAAGAAGCGAGTGAACGGAAAAGCCGTCTGATGTTGCAAATTGGTGTTTGCGGTGAGCGTGTGCTGTAATGCCGAGCAGGTCTAGACTTGTGAGCTCAAAAGTCTGACGTGGAGTTTGAATCCAAAACATTCTGACTCAGGCGAGAGAGAGTGTTACTGACTGAGCCAAGCCGACACCTAAAGCAATACGTAGAGAATGTAATGGACAGAGTTGGCAGTATAAGCCCAGACTGTACTGTAGGGACCCGGAGCCATTACTGTCATCACATAAGTGGGAGCGGTATATTTTGTCTCCTTCCCTGTAGAAGTGAGATATCTCCAGAAAAGCAGTGTCGGATGGTCTATTTAAGGTAATAGTATATTTTCAGGAGCCAGGAGAGGAACCTGTGAACAGTCCTTTGCCTTGCCGGTGTAAGTGCACTTAAAATAACAACATTTGCGGAGATGCTTTTTAGCTTCTTCACAACATTTCTGCCCATGGGGGAGCTTTACAAGCCAAATAATGTATAATGCATCAGGCTTCTGACAACTGATAGCTGCATCACAGTGCATTCCCTAGTGGACTGCGCTCTGCACTGATTTAGTCCGTTTTCCACCATCCAGTTCTGTTCCATTTTCTAACCCCATCTACCTTGTTCTTCACAATTTTAGATGTGCCACTTACCTGGCCCCAAAGCCTTAATTTTTACTGAATGTGTTTGTTTCTCCAAAGCTGATAATGCAGGGGTCAATCTACTCCACCTCACATTTATCCCGAGCCAAATTTGCTTCCTACGGTGGAAATGTCAGATATAATGTTAAAGAGAGGGATGAGAGCAAGTACAGGACTGCAAGCTGGGCTGCAATCAAGTCCTTCATTCCTTTCAGGAAGTCCAGTGTGAGATTCAGTATCTGAATTACCAACTCTTGAGTTATTGGAGCTCAGCGACACATAGGCTACATGTTGCAAATCATATCATCATAAACTGACCAATGTTACACACTTGTCTTATCCTCGTGGCTGTAGTGATGTCTAGGTAACATTCTAAGGCCTGATATGTAGCAGCATCTAATGGGATTCTTCCGTTCTAGTCGATACGCGGAATAGCAAGTGGAATTTCCGCCCTTTGGGGGGCCAGGCTGACACTCTGGTGCAGAGCTGGGGTAGCACTGTGTTGTCATAGGTGCCGTGCTTCGGATAAGATGTTTAATATCTGATCGGAATTTCATCCCTCAGGATGTCACACATAATGTGCCAAGCCATGTGTGTGATGTTGATCAATTTATTATGACTCGTAACGCCTGCCCGACTGTTCCCATGGCTCAATTGGAAAGAGAAGGAAGTTTTGTCCAGTGTACTGGACGCCATTTCCTCAGATAAAATTTGTCATTCGCTTTCCGGTTGGCTGTGCGACTGCGTGGAAACTGGCTGCCCCGCGTTTGCCAACAAATCCACAGTCATTACACTTGACGGAAGTCTTCTGTCAAGCACTTTGAGACATTTTTGACATGGTGAATGCTGCGTCAAATTCGTTGTCAAGATAATCTTGTTGGGTTTTTTTTGCAGCCAGAGGACGATGCTCCGCCCAGGCCTCCCCTCCCCCACATGTACAGCCCTGATGACCTGCCACCAGCAGTCCCACCTCTCCCAAAGGACGCCACAGTCATCAGGCACACATCAGTGCGGGGCCTCAAACGCCAATCAGATGAGAGGAAGCGAGACCGGGAGTACGGCCAGTACGTGAACGGAGACTACAAGGTGAGCAGACCTTTGCATTGTCCTGCGTAACACACGCTCACCCACAAAGTTACACAGTCAATCCACTTTACAGTATGTCCTATGAAGCGCTTTGAGACCTCTCAACAACATGGTAAGGCGCTGTATCAAATGCATATGTTAAGTACAGTCTGTGATGCCTAGTAAATTCTTATGTCCTTGTGCTTAATGGCGGTTGGTCTGATCCGTTTGATGGCCTGTTGCAGGCAGAGCTGCGTTCCTATGTGAGCGAGCCGGAGCTGATGTCAGTGGGAAGCGGGATGAGCAGATCCATGGCCGGATCCCTAGAGCACGATGGTGGATTCCAGACCCTGCCCGGCCGAGGTAGGTCCTGGGGCAGAGCCCAGCACGCCGAGGAGGGGGGAAGCCAGTTACAGCATACAGGGAGACATGCCTATCTGTAGTGGGACCCTGATTTAGGCTGGTTGGCTCAGTCTCTGAGCAAGACCAAGGCATTGCCTTGAAAACACAGTTCCTTCTTGTGCACCTTTTGTTTGGCATCTTGGAGCCCTCACTTCTCGACCAAGATCCTTTGCTTTGATAAAGTGCTGACTTGTCCAGTGATCAGTGACTTCTTGTTGAATGTTGCAGCTGAGATTCATTGCTCCATTCACAGTGGGTTTAACGACAACATCGTGCATTTTTAAGCGCCCTCCATGCAGGGTAACGTCTCGGTGGGCTCAGAGCGTAAAAGGGGCAATAAGTGTCAGAGGTGAAGGAGCCGCTCTTGACTTGCCATGTTTTTTCTGAGCTATAAATTTATAATGTTTCCTGATCTGTATATTTTATAATTTACTCATGTGCAGCATAAATAGGGCGGGCACACTCCATTTGCGCTATAAGTGAATCCACAATATAACGGCGTTCTACTGCAGCTTGATGTCACAGGCACATGGGTGGCGGACATGACCTTTAGCGTTTGACCTTTCAGCCCCCACACTCCCTCACCCCCCCCCCCCCCCCCCCCCCAAACCCCACCACCACCCCCATGGTCACCTCCCACCACGTGGCCACCAACAGGTTTGTAAATAGACGAATCCGGCTTCAGAAGACAACAGCTTCCATTCGCGTTGCTCTTCTTCCTTTCCAGGCTTGTCGTCGTCCAGCACAGGACTGCAGCAGTCCTCCGACGTCACATCACACTACGTCACACTCCGGAGAGGGAGGAACGACATCAGCTCTAAGGTAAAGAGCTGTAGGCAAGCCTGACGCAGTCTCGCCTCTCGAATCAGAAGGTTGGAGGTTCAAGCCCCACGTCGGGACTTGAAATCACATAGTCTAAGCTGACACTCCATTGCAACGCTGGGGATGTGTTGCTTTGTCAGAGATGATAATAATAATAATAATAATGCTCGCATTTGATAAAGCGCCTTATCACGTTTTCGAGACGTCTCAAAGTGAATTGACTGTATTTTGTGGGCAAAACGCAGCAGCCAATTGCACGCAGCAGTGTCCCACAAACAGTTGTGGATTGAAGTGACCAATTTATTATTATCATTTTTTTTGAAGGAATTATTACCCCCGGAAAAACAATCCGCCAATTGACTAACAACCGGGTTCCTACTTACTGCAGGGTAAACGGAGGCGTGTGGAGTAAGGAAACTCGCCCAACATTTCGCCCTGCCGGGAATCTAATCCAGGTCTCTCGCTTGCGAGGCGAGTGCTCTAACCACTGAGCTGCAGGACTCCACAGGGTTCGAGACCTACATTGGAACTTTGAACTCACATAATCTAAACTAACACTCCAATGCTGTTGTGCTATATTGCTAGCGGTACCGTCCTTTGGATGAGCCATTAAACTGAGGTCCCTTCACTAGAGAGAAGAATCCTCCACTATCTGGCTTGTTAGTTCTCATCACTGTTTTAAACATAGGGCAGCATTAAATTGCTTATCAAAGCTATGGAACAAGGATAGACACAAAATCCTTGCTTTGCTCGGTTCCCTGCGTTTATAGATTTTAGAACATATTGTTGGTGCAAAATATGTACTGAGCATAAAAATTCAGCCGAGCATGGTAAGGTTTTATGTTCAGATCTCAAATATAATTGGCTTTGAACCAAAGTGGGCCTTTCAGGAATCTGAGAGATGAATTGAAACCTATTAATATTAATTGAAAGGTGAATGCAAAGTTGATTATGTTAATTGAGTTCAACGTTTGTTAATTCTGATGAATCGCTTTGACTGGAGAATATTAATAAGAGGAATTTAATAAATCTTATCTGCAGCGGATGCTACCAGAGATTGTGTAATTGCATAAAATACGAGAGGTTACAAAGTGGCAAGGCAGTCAATGCATTGAATAGTGTACGATTCAGAGGGTAGAGTTATAGTGCTTCCTAAGCAGTCTTTTCCTCTGGAATAATATTGCATCTTTAACAAATTCAACTTATTATATTATAGAAGGCTCAGCTACTAGCACGTTTGCCTCTGAGACAGAGGTTGTGGGATTAAGCCCCATGTCGTGACTTTGAGCTCCAGTGCATTGCTGAGGGAGCTGTTCAGATGAGATGATAAACCGAGCTGGCAACAGTGGCTGTTGAGGTGGACATTAAAATATCCCATGGCGCTGTTCAAAAAGATAAAGGAATTTCTCCCAGTGTCCTGGCCAACAACCTCCCCCGCCACCGAGATAAAATTGGCCATTCACATTAGACATTATACAATCACGAGATGTGTTACGAACAGAACGTATGTTAAGTCCCAACACGTGCTAATTAATAATAATCCTTGCATTTGATATACTGCTTCATCACATTGTTGAGACGTCTCAAAGCTCTTCACAGGATATACTATAAAATGTGTTTTTGTGAGCAAAATGCGTGGCATGCATGACCGTTTTTATTTGGAGGATTGTTGGCAAGGACACTGGGAGAAACTCTCCTCTCTTTTCGAATAGTGCCGTGGGATCTTCAACATCCACCTGAACAGACAGATGGGACCTCGGTTTTAACCTCTCATCCGAAGGACAGGATATCAATTTGTTTAAACCACTCATTTTCTCGTTTGTTTCTCCTCGCCCTGAATTGTTGCAGCAGAGGCCAAAGAGCGCTGTGGAGCGCCTGTACGGGGAAAACCAAAGAGGGAGGATGAGCGCGGAGGAGCAGCTGGAACGTATGAAGAGGCACCAAAAGGCCTTGGTTCGCGAGCGGAAGCGAACACTCAGCCATGGAGAGCGTCACTCCACTTCCTCCCGGCCTTCCTTCAGACCAGCTTCTGCTGATATTGGCTCAGTACGTTAGCGCTGCTTGCCTTTAAAAAAAAATCCACACACAAAAAAATTGGAATAGCAGATTCATTCAGCGCCTATAACGACACGCAGAGCAAGTGTGCGTTGTTATCAAAGTGTATTTCAGCCAAAAGAAGGAACCATCTGATCAGATGAATTTTGTTTCCTGTACGATCTGAAAGGATCAGGCGCTCAGATATTGAAAATATATTAATCTTCACAGCATTATCAATGAACTTTGTAGTGGCTCGTACTTAACGGCAATTCAGTGCGCGAGAGGTATCCAGTGTATTTGCAGGTATGTTGGTATGAGGACTGTGCGGTTTGATCAGTGAGTCGGTGAGTTATTAGGGTGGTCTTTGGTTTGGGAATGTTGGTGTTTGTTAAAGGAGTGGGTTGCGTTGATGAAAGGTGCTTTCAGAATAACCCATATAGTTTAACCATTTCATGCTTGGAGCAGCCTTGAACCTTTCCGACCTCCTGCCAAGGATAAACAGTTCTTTGACGACATGCTTTATTTAAAATGGCGAGTTGGTGGGGGGGGAAAGCAAAATGATATTTAAAAAACAACAAAAAAAAAGTTTTCTAGAAGTCTATTGAGGGTGCCAAATGATAGTTTTTGTATTTAGTCTGAGGGGGGAGGGGGCGGGGGGTGAATAATTTTTATTTAAGTTGAATTTGTAAACCTGTGCAAAGGGCTTTGATGTTGTTTAAAGCCGTCACCGGAAATTTAAATTGAAATGTTTGATTTAAAATATTTTCTTAGAAAGAATAATTTTTTTGAATGAAAATAAATCCACAGGCATAATAGGCCGAATGGCCTCCTTCTGTGCTGTAGGATTCTATGAAATCATCCAACTTTGGAATGGATGTGAATTATGGCAATAGGAGCTATGATAGATCCTTGCCATTGATACATGAGCTGATGGGGTTCAGTGCTATCTACCTGCCTAGTGATTGACTGTAGGCAGCGGCAGTCAGTGCACTCGAAGCATTGTTTGCCTGTTTGATCTGAAAGGGTTAGCGGCTTGTTAATAAATGATGATTCCTCTCAGTCACTAACCATGGCGCAAGTGAACAGCTCGATATCTGTTAACTCAGTTTTTGCTCTGGCGCTGTAGAACTACCAATCATGTCCTCCTCCACTGAAGCTTTCTATTCTCCACATAAACCCTCTGTACCTGAAACAGTGCACAAGCTATCCAACTGTTGGCAGTCTGTTGCCCATTTCTAATGCTACCATTTAAATCCTTTACTTACTTGGCAATAACATCTAACAAGAACCCTTGCATACTGTATACCACTAGGCCTCATTGTGTTTCCCTATAGCTACGCTATGTGATGCTTGTTACAGTAAAGCAGTATTATAACCCATCAGTATTCTTTAGTTCCTTAATACACCTACTTGCTCCTTGACGAACCCACCATTTGATAAATGGAGTCATTTTATAACTATCCCAGGGGCGGCTATGATTTCTGTTACGTGTTTTCCCACATTCCTCAATCTTTGAATCATTGTTTTCTTACCATTGGCATTTTTTGGATCAAGACAATTGAACCAGAATTAAAATGTTTGACACATGGCCCAAAATTTCAGCGTTGGATAATTGGCAAATATTTGCACTTGATTTCTTTCCCCTTTTTTTTGGGCCATTTTATAATGCGGTGACACTTGGTGCAAAATCACTGCCTGCCTCAGAGAGTAACCTCAATTGAATCAAACCCCTGAAACAGGTCAAAGCGGAGGGTGAGGTGGGAGAGAGAGCCAGAATTTTTCAATAAATATAAAGCTGCATATAACTGAATTGTAAAGCTATAATTTTATTACCTAATGTGTATTTTTGCAGAAGTGCCCTTAACATGTTAAATCACTTGCCTGCACTTTTAATAGCTGGTTTTAATGAAGCCTCTCTGTTTTACCGAGACTTGTGTTAAACTGAATTTATATGGTGTGTGAGATAGCTGCTGTCCGTAAGACGAGCAGACCTGTATGCCATAAAATTCTGTGTATAAGTTGCATCTTTGTGACCTAGCAATCATTGAACTATAAGCAGAAGGGTGGGAGGGAGGAAGAGACCTTCAAATCAACGCAAGATTTTTTTTCTTTTTTTTAAAAGAAAAGGCTTTAACCAAAAAAGCAACCTTAAAAATAGGAAGCATTTTTTCCGTTATTATACACACACAGATGTGACTTATAATCTGGATTTTGCGGGAACTAACAACCAACAAAACTACTGGGTTATGAAATGTAGATGCCATATAGTTGTTTAATGATAACTCACTTCCAATGTAGTTGCTTACCATCTGAAAAGCAAAATAAACCTTGTTAATTAAGACATTGGCCTGTGATGGGTTTTCATTATCAGTGGAACTAATTTTTTTCATTCCATTTATTTTAGTGATTATCCAGTGATGGATGTTTGGCAGTCTTTAACACACTGAGGTCTGGTTCTGGACCTCATTCACCAGCATTTGGTTTTCTTCAGTACAAATGGTAGATCAATGCCCTGGGAGCAATCCCAATTGAACAGCCACAATCTATAGCTACTTTGCTGTAATTCAATCCACCATCCTGTGACATTGTACACCACAGAACTCAATAAGATTTCAATCCCTCTATATTCAGTATCTCTGTGTGGGGAACAAAGGATTTGGTTTGACAAAAGAACTCAGAACTCTTCATTTCTCATTTTATGTCTCTCTTTCGCTCTTTTTCTTGTGTTCTCTCTTTCTCTCTCTGACACCTGTGTGTCGTTGATACTTGTGCATTGACAGTTCAGAAACAAAGGGTGTTGCACAAACCATTTGCATGGTGTAGCTTCAAAGTGGAATTGATTTGCTTGCCTCCACATGTGTACAAATACAAAATCAAATGTCACCATGTCTGTTGCCTTCAGTGTGCCCCATGTATATCTAATGGTACATCCCTGCATGCAAAGGATAGTTTTACAGTGGGTAAGAGATGTATTTATTTTCTAGTTATTGAAGGTCCTCACCAGTATATAATAGAGTTTCACATCTTGAAATGGATCTGCGGTTTGTAATGGGCTGTGATTTAGTAGTTGAGGTTCTGTTTCGTTTTTCATGTTATGTGACTTTCGGCCAAGTCAGCACTCCATATTGAAGATCCTGTGTACCTAACCCTTCCCCATTTGCTTTGAAAGGTGTATTTTGTGATGTGGACTGTGCCGTGGTTACACAGACGTGTGCTACTCTGCCCCAGTTCTGTCTCTCCAATTGTTACTTACCAATCTCACCAGTGCAATCTGGTGTACCACATACAGTTTCTGCTATTGTGTTGCTTTGTTCTCATATTATGACAGAAATCAACTTGTCCCATAGTTTGAGAAATTTCTGCTACGAATAAGTTAGTCACAGATATGACTCTACTTCACTTGTAGATTTCTGGTTAAAGCAAAGCAGGAAGCAATACTTGTAGATATTCCAGGACAGCATGACAGAGGATCTAAGTTCTGGGTTGGCAATGGGCAGGTTTAGGAAAGAAACCAGGAAGTGTTTCTTTGCACACAATATAACCAAAGCCAGCTTTAAACATGGAGGAGAATGATCAAAAGGTGATGAAATATGTATTTTTAAAGGGGGCTTTAAATGGTGCATGAACGTTCTTGATTTCGAGTGCTGACTTGAGGCTAAGCTGATGTTGTCAGGAGGAGACCTTAAATGTCTAATCCAGGCGGTAAGTAACAAATGTGTCCAAAGACATTGATTGAGTTGGTTCCAGTTCTTACGAAGATCCACGTTTTTTTTCCTACAATTGCAAATATGTGATGTGGATTTTGCAGCAAACCACAAAGGAGGAAAAAGAAGTGACCCTGGAGGTGATGTCTGTGTTCAAAACACCCCTGCATAAAGTCACTGCATTTACTGTAACTGTCTGATATTACATTGGAATTATTACCACATGTGGTTCAGAAACGTGTCCAACACGCTAGCCAACTTGATGTGAACGGTTAGATCTATGGAACTGATGACTGCTTGGCTGTTAGATTACACTTGCACACGTGGAGTGTAACATTCGCAAAAGAAGTGACCCTGGAGGTCTTTTTCCCAAAGCAATTCAAATGGTTTTCAAACATACACTGTAGTAATTCAGATGTATGTGCGTTGGTACACTGAGCAACGCAAAGTGCCGTTCCAATGTAACACACCCATCAATGCATCGCATGAAACAATTGGGATTCTCTGAATACGAGTCTCTGGAGTTGGACGGGTTGTTGGGAGAAGCCAATAGATAGAGATAGAGCCCAGGATTGTGTATCAATACTGAAACATTTCTGTATTCTACCAACAGTAATAACATTGACAGAGACCCGGCTGTGAATTGCCTCCTGCCCCACTAACATGCGGTGATAAATTCTATGTAAAGAACGAAAAATATGTTTCAAGAAATTTGTTGCAGCTCTCTGATACTCTCTGTAGGAGAGAGGCATTGTCCATTGCAGCACTTGGTCACCGGGACCCGAAAGTCCGCAGGTTCGAATCCAGAACGTTAGCTGATCTCAGCCAGGCATTAAAGTTAACCCCAGGTCCCCTGGGTGAAGGAAGGAAAAGTCAGCCAGGGACATGCTCCTGGCCCCAGTAGAAGAGACACACGTAGATGTAGTGTAAGGGCAGGAGACCATGATATGCAGTGTGGTTGAATTACCTAAGGGTGGAATTCAGGTACAGATAACCCATGATCTAATAGGATGACGGAACAGGCTCAAGGGGCTGAATGTTCCTATGTTCCTAACCGGCCCACATTCACGATCAAAGAATCAGTCCACCAGAAATCCAAGGTGTACCCTATGAACACCAGCCATGTCCAGTTTGGCTCAATGTAATGTGCAGCGTGTGGAAAGAATGACTTCTTCTGTCTGTTCCCTTTTTAGTGGAAACGTGAACAAGACTTTGATTTACAGCTACTGGAGAGAGCTGCACAGGGAGAGGCGAGCAGGGAGCATGACGGGCTCCTGAAGGTAGTGCCTGTGGTGGAAGCTGACGTGGAACCTCTGGATTACGATCTGGATCTCAGCAAAGAGGTAACGACATGTAACACAGCTCTGTACCTGCACCTTGGAAATGAATGTCAACTGCGCTGCAAGTATTAACAAATAAGGCCAGGACTTCACGGTATTGAAGAGACTCGACTTTAAACATCAATTTATAAGGTAGCAAGGCGAGTGCACTATCAAATCATTAAAAATATAATCCTGCATTCTTTTAGAAATTTCAGTGCTCGATATACCATCTGGTGCAGCACTAGGGCCACGCAGACTGTATACAGTAAAAATCGCCCATGTCATGCATTCATCCGTTCCTTTCCCTAGCAAAACCACTTATATTTTTTTGCACTCATTGTATTTTATACACAAGTCATCTCCTAACTCGTAACACCGTTCCCCCACCATCCTTTACTCCCGCACTTACCGATTACATTGAATTACGCATGCGCGGTATAGATTATTGATTAAATCTTGGGATGCCCTGCCGACGTGAAAGGCGCTATACAAATGTAATCTTGTTGTAAATCAGATTTTAGATGATTTACACAGTTTGCCTGTAACTCGGACTTCACATTAGTCGTATTAAATGTTATGGTCCTGACCGATACGACTTATGTGAGTTTTACTGTAGAAGGTCAGGGTCTTGAATGCCAGTTTGTGTTGAGCTTAGCTGGGGGAGTGGGGTGGGGAGGGGGCTGCAATGACGTTTACTGCTGAGACCAGGCAGCTTAGCACAAGCCTTGGGACCTTCCTGCTCTGTGAAGCTCAGCAGCTGGTGCATTCACCCAAACTGCACCATTAGGACCAAACTGCGTACAGTTCACATTCTGAAAGTTTGACATTTAAGTGGACTGGTTTGCATTAGCGCGTCCTTAATATAAACATTGAAAGTCAGTAAATATCCTGTCTTCCTGTGACGTTCAGTGAAATATTCTATTGTTTTAATGGTAGTTGGGGTGCTGTTAGAGTGACCTTTCATTGTTCCCCAGTGTATGAGAACAAGTCCTGAATGTTGATTGAATCTGCGGGGCCAAAGGTCTCTCTGTTTAATGAACACTGGGGGGCTTTTCTGGTACTGGCGACACTTACAGGCAGGAAAAAGTTATAGCTTTTTTATGTTTCGTGAATGATTATGTACTTAAGAGAAAGTAAAGAGGCAGTTAATATTATATTTGGGAAAATTCAAAGTTGAAACCGACTGTAAATGGAAGAAAATAAATCTTAAAATCCTACGAGACATTTAATAGCGCTTGTCAAACCAAATGACTATGTGTCCACAATTTATAAATAGAATTCTGTCTTTGTGTTTTATTAAAATGGTCACTGTGCCACAGACAATTCACTCACTGTGTCCATGTGGCTGGCTGTGTGCCACAGACCGCAAAGATGCATATTTTCACATATTGCCATAAATATCCCCTGCCTCTTAACTGGATGCAGCAAAGTATAATATTCTTCTCTGGCGCAACTTCCCAAGGATCAGAGCCCAAGGAAAGGGTTACTGATACGTGCGATTCTGTTTCTCTTTCTGCCCCCCCCCCTCCTCTTCCCCCTCCTTCCTCTTCCTCCTCCCTCTTGGCCTGTTGCTGGCCCCCAAATTTCTCTTGAGTGTTTGTTGGTAATAGCGCAATCATTGTGGCTCAGACACGTTTGCATCTACTGAATACCAATGCCAGATTGTCTGCTCTGAGCTCCCACACCGTATGCCCTAAGGATGGCTGTACCAATGGGTCCAGTCATTATTCAACCAGTTGGGAATGTCTGGCGAGCTGGAAGGAGTATAAGTGGGAGTGTGCTTTTTTGCTTACAAGATTGCTGTTTCAGACACCAGGTGATGTACAGAGGCCTTATACCAGCAGATCAGTATCAAAGGATTACTGCATGCTCTCTGCAAACTCACGATCTGCCTGTCACTCACTTTGGATGGCAGATTCTGGGCTCAGTCCATGCAGTCCATTGGCAGACAGAAGGCTGAGTAATGATACTAAATAGTATTTACATACGGAGCATTTTACTAAAATAAATGTTCGCAGGGTAGTACAAAACATAATGGATTAGAAATCTAAGTGAATGTTGTTTTAGAACCAATTACTTCAAACTCCACATCGAGACCTTGAACTCGTAGTCTAGGCTAACCCTCCAATGTAGCGTTGGATGAGCGTTGCATTGTGAGAGCCAACTTGCACCATAAGAGGTCAGTTTAGCGGTTCTGAGGTTTAAGGGAATCCAATGCAATACAACTTGTATTTGTACAGCAGTTTTCATGTCGGGAGGACGTCTCAACATGCATTACATAGTTGGCTGGGCAATTACTAGGTATTTGTCGGTGAACACAAGAGCCAATCTGCGCACAGGAATGCTCCCCAAATGGCTAATTTTGTAAATCAAATCTATTATAAACTCGGTGTTCATTGTCCATGTTATTTTTGCAGTTATCCAAGCCAGATATGGTTGAGATCCCAGAGCGTTACATCAACCTGGAGCCCAATGAGCCGCTCACCAATGAAGAGCTCGAAACGAGGAGACGCAAGGTGCAAAAAATCAAAAGCATCCTTGCCAAGTCCAGGTACCTGACCTGCACCCACAGCTGCATTGATTTACTTTGGATCATTTTGGCAAAATAGCTGTTGTATCGGGTATCAGCTAGTGAAATGAGTCAATCTGTTACATACGGTGCTAGTTAAATTAATTGCATATTGTATACTCGTGAGGTTTCAAAGACCTAACATGCACTTTCTGCATCAGTTTTCAGAATGTACAATCCGGAATCACCCACAACAAAGAGAACTCTCTGGATGTGGACTTGCAACTACAGGAGCAGGAACGACTCATCACCATGTCCTATGCCTTAGCGTCCGAGGCCTCTCAGCGCAGCAAACTAGTGGCAGGTAACTGGCAAAGTGCTCCATGGGCATTGGTGCTTTTCATACCTGCATTCTGCCTTCACATGTGCCCAACAGCTAGTTGAGAGGGTGGAAAGGGACTTCCCAAAAATCTGGACGGCAAGTTGCACTGGAGTGCTCCCCCTATGGCAGAGTGATGTATTAAGGCTATATTCTCTGACCACAGCTCAGATGATGGTTATACTTATAATCCACTCGAACTGTCGATCGCTCTTTGTTTATAATATCATCTTCCGAGCCCCTTTGTCAGATCAGGGCCTTGTGGTTGCTTCCAGATATCCGTAACCCTTGGTGTAAATGTTGATAAGGACATGTGCGATTGTTGCGTGTGGAGGCAAAATGTAATTGAAGGTTGCAAGACAAAAAAACACACTAACTACCAAAACCCAGTCAAATGAAGAGTGAAGTTGCGTACTGACTGACTGCGAATGTGATTCTTATTAACCTCTGTCTTTTAACATTTACTACCCTTGTGTTTCTGTGTGATCCTTCCAGCTCAACAACAAGTCCATCCTCCGGCACCCTCCCCTCCTCATTCCCCTCTTAGCAATGGATTCCACTACACGTTTGTCTAAGCAAAGTTGCAAAGTAAGGACTGGCAGCTTTTTAACCTGGATTCCTTTGCTTCAGTTGTTCCTTATGTCTTTATTATGGCTTTGACTTCGGGCACTGGACTCCATTCACTGGAAGTGCAGAGTCAATGAGCTTAAATTGAAAGAGGCGAAAGATGATCGAGTGTTACATTATCCATGTTTTGTTTCATGCTCTGAAATGCAGTGCAATTAATGCAGTGGTCCTCCTTTCATTCCTGTAACAAAGACCAGTGTGATGAATTGAAATGAAACATGGATTACATTATTTTAACTGGGTTTTTAATCCTGAGTAAACAAGGAAAGAGATGATTTGGGAAATTAACTCATAACCAGGTTGCATTGCTTTTACACTCATGCTACCATTGCCTCCCAGACTCCTACTCCCTTTATAACTCATCTGCTTTCAAGGTTCAAGCATTCAATGTTCCCAGTGATCATCACCTAGATCTGAAGAGCCAAGTTGCCTGCAAGGGTCAAAGTTATTTGAAAGTTATTATTGAATCTGCTTCCACCACCCTTTCAAGCAGTGCATTCCAGATCATACCAACTCACTGCGTAAAAAAGGTAGAGTGCTCACAACTGCACACAAATGTGGCCTCCCCTGTGGCTCTTATGAGAGGAGAAATTACTTGCCAAAAGACCTCTGTGAGCACCTGACATTTAGAACCTGCCATCTAAGGAAATGTGAGATCATGTTTGAGTTTATGGAGCATAAGTAACACATATCAGGGTTCACCTGAATGTGGAACAGACTACCCACAACGGAAGAGGAAGATTGTTTCAGCAAATTCAAGATGGAATTAGAGAGCTATTTGGTGAAAAATTCAACTGAGGGGTATGAGAATGAGAGTAGGATTTTTTTTTTAGAGTTTTTTTTACTTGGGGACCAACCAGATGGACCTCAATGGTCCCTGGGTAACATAAGAGTAAAGTTCAGAGGAGCAATGACCATAATAGTTTGGGCAAAATAAGAGAGAGTCCAGAAAGGTGGAAAGGTCGGAGGCTCAGGGTGAGAGAACAATCACCTATCAGATGATTTCTTGCCTTGTATCACTCTCAGAAATACAATGAGGTGCAAGAGGAGTCTCTCCAAACATGTACCTCTCTCAGATGTAAACCATCACTGTTTACAAGACTATTTCACTATTTTTTAAGTACCTTCAGGGGTCTGACAGGTGAACACAAGCTAGTTTTCCAATCATTGCCTAAAATGGGATTTCCCATGTTTTGCTCATATCAAAGAACCGAATGTATTCAGACCCCTTCGCTCCCAGATCCGGTCATCAAATGACTGAGACATGAACTTCACATTTTAGATGTTAGTCATTTTAAAAAGGGCTGATTGTTAACAGGACTCATAAGGAGGAGAGACTCACCTATGCCTTTTCTCCCCAAATTAGCTAAAGCCCTGGCTGAAGACTAACAAAGAAGAGAGAGCAAAGCAAGAGGAAAATATTGCCACAAAGCGACCGAGAGCAGTGTTGTATTACACTTGGCCTGTACTAACCAGCTGGAGACCAACATAATCTCATCAACAGATTTTTTTTCTACTTCAAAAAAAAAGCAAAATAACTTTGCTGGATGTGACCTGGGAACTGGATCACTGCATGACTGGATGAACATTTAAAAAGGGAAGCTATTTTTCTAAACATACAAAAAACATTTTAGCAAACATTCAGTGACTTTCATGTTGGGTGCAAAAGTCTTTAACACAAGAGTTGTTTGCGTAGGTTTTAACATGTTTTTTTAAAAACATATGATATTGCACTTTTTAATATATACATATATATATATATATACACACACCATGAAAGGCTGGTTTTGCTGCATTTTAGAATCAGGATACATTGAAACAAGTTTATAAAAAAATGCAAATTATTCAGAGCAATTTAACTGTTTGAAATATGTGTTCAATTTTCATTAGGCTGATTTTCGCGGCAATATTTTATTGTGCTATTTCATGGTGAGTATAGATACTACAGAACAAAAGGATGGAAACACTGGTTCATCCCTGATTTACACTGAAATACTGATCTATTTTTTTGAATTTGAAATCAGCATCTAATCTCCTCAGAACATTGTTTTTGGTGACGCGATTTTAAAATGAATTTATTTTGTCTGAACCAAACACTGCCACAGTGAACTGTTGCCAAAACCAAACGGATTTCCGCCCACCGCCAACAGTTGTGATGAACGCTTTAGAAGTGGAGTGAAAAAAATACAGATCATGAAAGATGGGTGGGGGGAGTGGTGGGAGAAGAGAGAGAGAACGCATGGGCGGGAAGAATATTTTGAACGATGACACGAAGAGAGAAGGAAGGGCGTTGAAGTAAACCAACTCTTTTGAAATCTGCAGGAAAAAAAAGTTGCATTTATATGTAAATATTAAAAAAAGAGATTTCAACTAAAATACATGGTTTTGTTTTTGTAAGAGTAACAATGTTCTTTGTAAGAGTAATAATGGGTCAATATGCAAAATGCAAAATGACTGCCATGCTAACAAACCTTCTTCTGTCTGTTTGGAGCCCGACATGTGGGAAATTGCCCTGTTTAGAATCTACTGGATGCCTAAATGTCTCAAATCACTTTACAGTAACTATTATGTTTTTGTGTAGGTAAATGCTTTAGCTATTTTGCACACAGTAAGGTCCCACATCCATGTGGTGAATGCCTTAAATGTAGAGGATTGTTGCCCAGGATGCCAGGAGAAACTCCCTGAGCCACACGGGAGGACAGGCACACAGGACCTTAGTTTAATGTCTCATCTAAAAAACGGAATCTCTGTGTACTGGATTGTTAGTTTATCCTAAATCACAAGATTATAGTATCCCCGGCCCTTTCCTCCATATCTCTTGCTTTTGCTGTATTCTAATTTGTGGAGTCTTGTAGCATATTGGTTAGACCACTCGCCTCGCCAGCAAGAGGACCCAGGTTCGATTCCCAGCAGGGCAAATCTTCGTCAAGTTTCCTTACTCCACATGTCTCTGTTTACCTAGCAGTAAGTAGGAACATGGTTGTTAGTCGATTGGCGGATCGCTTTCCGGGGGTAATAATCCCTTCCAAAAATATAATTATAATAATTTAGTCACTAAATCCACGATTGTTTCTGGGCACTGCTGTGCGCAATTGGCTGCTGCGTTTTGCCCACAAAAATATACAGTCAATTCACTTTACAGAATATTCTGTGAAGCGCTTTGAGACATTTCAATGACATGATAAGGCGCTATAACAAATGTAAGGATTATTATTCTAGACTGGGTTATGCTGTGTGTTTTTGGAATCATTGGTATAAAACACTTGGTGCAGTGCACAACAGAAGAAAATCAACAGTGAGTAATGCCCTTACACGGAATCCTGTAAGAACATAATTCTTTAGATAGATTGAAATCTGGATGATGCTGGTTAAGAAGGCACATGGCTTTGGATGTGGCTTTGGGGAACTTTATGAGTATTTTTCGATACAATGCTTTGAATGATTCTGAACCTTCTCTGCTCTGAACTCATTTTTTACAGTGTTCGAAATAAAATATTGCTGCTTGGGATTTTATGGGACAGGGATCTGGTCCTCGTTTGACTAAATTACCCTTGGGAGCAGCTCTTAGCCATTGCTGACAAGCAAGAAAGATATACTGTTCCACATACACAACATTCCAGTGGCAGGAATGCATTGAGAGTTGGTGTTTTGTACATCTGTCAAATAAGTGTGCGCGGAACAAAGTCCACAGTGTTCTTTCAGTACGCAGAGAATAATGGGTGGGTGGGACTGATTATAGGAAAATCTCATCAAGGGGTTTAGGTGGAGTCATAAATCACAACAGCATAAAGTCAGGAGTGGTTCGTTATCAATCTGAACTCTCAGACAAAATTACCTTGATTATAATAAATCCCATTGATCTGCTAGTTGTCTAATGTGTAAAGCTGTGTTATTAACATTATTATTGAGTAGATGAATGATAAACAAAGGGGCCCTGTGGTAAGCCTTTTTGTTTATCAAGGGTTTGTTATCACATTTGTGAAGCCAATGTGATAACAGTCTCGAACGATTGCATCCATGATGAAAGCAATCAGGAGTCCGGGAACTTGATCTGCTAAGCGATACTTTCATTATTTTTTTCAAGCATGTGGATTATGGATTTTACTGTGTGGGGAAAAAAATCTTTTTGAAATTATGCACAGCAAGAGATTTGATAATCTGTGGGTCCCAAAAGCCCAGGATTTTACACTCTTGTTTCAGTTTGGTTCAGAAAATTGTGGGTTCGAACCCCACATGGAGTATTGAATTGGCAGTCCAGGTTAACACTCCAGTACAGTGCTGGAATGTCACAGGTGAGTGAAGTTCTTTTAAATCAGGCCTATGTCCCGCCTGCCTTTTTCAGGTGGATGTTAAAGATCTCGTGATATAATTTGAAAGAAGAGAGTTTTGCCTGTTGGATCTGGCTAAAAATCCTCCATCATGGCTGTTTGTGAGAACTTTTGCTGGTGCAAAATAGTGGCAAAATAGATTGCATACAAAAACATTATCACACCTGACAGTAATCACTGTAAAAGGCTTTAAGATGTTTCAATGTGATGAAGTGCGAGACAAATCAAGCTCTCTCCTACTTTCTGGCTTGTGGCATTAAGAAACCGATTGGGTTTACTGCCTGAACACACTGTAATTTTAAAAGCAAGATGATCTTTGTCTAACATTCGCCTCTACTCCAGACTGAAAGGAATCCATTGTGAATCAGAAAGAGTAGCAATGACTCTTTAAAAATGAGAGGTGGCAGCAGTGGCTGTATTTATAAATCAGACACAGTTGTAGATACTTCAGGATGTGTGAATGAGAGGTATTCTATCTGCCTGACACTCGCTTCCAGCTAAATTCTGGTTACCCAATGGACAGACCAGACAAGCTCTCTGGCAACAGTGAAACCTCAGTGTTTGTAATGATGGCAGACACTTCCTCCATTTCTAATGTGCTTACCATCCACCGCCCTCCGCCACCATCACTGTTTTCCCTGCAAACCCGAGCTATTGCCACCCTAGCTTCCACACACAAGCTTACGGACAATTGTCTGGACTTAATAGAACACCAGGAACCAGTTTCCCTCCCAGAGATTCGCTCCAATGTAGTGCCGAACAGATCAATGGACGTGCATCGCACTTTCCATTCAAGTAATTTGTGGAATGTTTCTTTCTCAAAGTGGCTACTCGCATCCCTCAAACAAAGTTTCTCCTATTGAGAGGTTCTCAAATTCCTTCTCAGTTTCTGAGCTTGAAATAGATGGTTGGCATGTAAGGCTCCATGAATTCCAATAGAGTGGGTTCAATGTGGCTTTCAGAAAGCAGGTAATGAAGCAACAGCAGAGGGTAACGTGCGCGCCTCGCAAGCGAGAGGACCCAGGTTCGATTCCCGGGTGGGGTGAAAACTTAGGCAAGTTTCCTTACTCCACACGCCTCTGTTTACCTCACAGTAAGTAGGAACCCAGTTGTAAGTTGATTAGCGGATCGCTTTCCCGGAGTAATTATCCCTTCAAAAAAGAACTACTGTAATAATATGGTCACCAAATCTACGAGTGTTTGTGGGACACTACTGTGCGCAAATGGCTGCCGCGAGTTTCGCCCACAAAATACAGTCGATCCATGTTACAGTATAATCTGTGAAGCATCCTTATTGTTTAATGCATAATCTTTCCTGCTCAGGGCTTAACTCCACCTGCCGTAACTTCAGGTTTAATTCAGAGTTTCCCCATTCTGGTTCTGAGTTGCTCTTAAATTCACTCAAATTCTGGAAAACACTCAAATTTAAATCTCTTAGATTCGGAAGAAATAAGGTTTTCTGAACTCTTGTTTAATTATCTAAGTCAAAGTTTCCCCCCCCCACCCTCCCCCCTCCCCTCCTGCCTGCATGTCTTTTTTCTTTTCTAAGTCGGATTTAATCTGAATAGATATAACAGTAAAAGGGATCCCAATAACTTTTTGGTGCAAGTCCCAGATAATAATAATCCTTGCATTTGATATAGCGTCATATTATGTAGCCAAGACGTCTCAAAGTGCTTCAGAATATACTGCAAAGTGAATTGCCTGTATAATTTGTGGGCGTAACGGCAGCCAATTGTGCCAAGCAAATAGAAGGTAACAGATCAGAAAAGGCCATTAAAATGATACACTGGGTGAAAAAACAATTGTAGGGAATCAGGACTTGACAGAAGTGTTGACTGAAAGCTTTACCCCAGTCTCCACGAGTGAAGATTATCGACATTTACAGATCCAGGTGGCTAGCTGAAGAATGTGTCAGGAAAGCATGAGTTATGAAGAAATGGAATGAGTTAAGTGTCTGCAGATCACCTGGATCAGATGAAACAAGAAACAGGTGAGATCACAATTGATATATTTTGAGGTTCTCTGGATACAGTAGTTTTACTTTTTAACTAATCATAGACAAGACTCATAGAATGGAATAGCCTGCCAACAAATGTGGTTGATACTCTTGTATCTGTATATCTTATTCGCATATTGAAAATGTCTAGGTTGATTTCATTTTTGATCCGTCAATTTCACAAGCCCACAGAAGTTAGGAATGTGCCCTTCATAAACTATCCTCGCTGGGTGTTGAATAACATTGTTCTGAAGGCATGATTTGCATTGCTTAGGCAGGCTAGGAGAAAGGATACTGTCTTTGAGAGACATAAATTGGACAGCTTTCCAATTGAAATACCACTTCAAATTCTCAGCTGTGCCACATTTAAATATCCCTCATTGTGTGCAAACTGCACACAGGTTCATCAGCAACTCAACATTCCAAGTTGTCCAGAGCCCTATTTTAAGTGCTCGTCAAGTTGAAATGTGGTTGAGGAAGAGGAAAGCAGGGAGTTTAACTATGCCTTCCTGGCTGGAGTATCATTCCAATGGATTGGTGAATTGTACTGCTCAAAAGGGCAAGAACTTTCATTGCATTATATAGGCAAAATGCAATTGATGTCCTTAGAACCTCGGTACAAAGAACAAGACAAAGTGCATGTTATACATCACAGAGCCTGCAATTCTGTTTGAAGCATTGTATTGATCATCTTGAACCAACAGAAGTGTAGTTGCTATTAAAACTTCTTAAGATACTACTTGCAGTTCAAAGCCTCAAAATTCTAAAGGGCATTTTTAGTTTGGGGATCCCGTGGTGTATTAGTGCTGGAAAGTACACAACTGTATTAAAGCCAGAGCCTATAGATGCACAGGTACATTGTAAATGGAACTGTGGCTGAGTACTAGATGGTCTGTGTTTTGCCTGTATGTTGTCTTGACAACTATGCCAATATTGGAAATTCTATGAGGGAAAAGGGAAAAGAGGGATACATGCTTCTGCATGATCGGCACCTACATCCCTGTTCTCTCTTTTTTATATAGTCTGCAAAGTACAATTATTTTGATTGGTTCTAATCGGTAGCCTCCTGCAAATTGAGTTTCAGCTGACATGATTTTGCTACGCATTTATAATACCGAACTGCAATTTTTTTCAACAATTTAAACTTTTCTTCTGTAGTCTGCGTATGCACATTGGCATGTTATTTTTGGGTGAAGTAGCAAAATTCGGCTCAAGTAATACCAATAATTTGCTTGTCATTTGGCCCCTCTGCAAGCTCATTCCATCATCACTCAATCACGTATACGCCTGCTCACGTGGCTTTGACTTTAATCTGTTAAGTGAAATAGTAGGCAAATGCTCCCAGACTAACCTAATAATTGAGGACTACAAAGTTTGTGAAGTCATTTTTTTTCTTATACCAACAATCCAAAAGCATACTGAATACTGGGACATAGGATGATTCTTTTATATATATATATATAAAATATAAATATACATACTGTATCGGATTTCTCTGAGGGGGAAAAAACACAAAACTACAGTTTGTTATAAGTTTATGAAGCACAACAGTAAAACTCAAAACAAGTTGCACATGTTCCAAGTATGGTACATAATCTGTCAAACACGACTACATATTTTTGAAACCGGCTCAATGAATGGCTTAATGGCTACAAGTGATCAGAGCTTGCAAGTTTACAGAATGTGGGGCTTTTTCCCAGACACGTCACACCATAGGGACCGAGTCAATCTGGTTGACTTGCAAGTTCAAAAGAAGTTATATCCCAATGTTTTTAGTAACTAAAAGCAGCCTTGATGTTTAAAGGGAAATTGTTATGGAATTGACTTCCACACCACAAATTTATGGCTACAAAGAGCCAGTTTGGAGGATCAAGGATGGTGCCACAAATGGGAGCCTGGTGCAATTTTCCAATTGTGGGGCAGTCATAGGCAAACTATTTTGTTTTGAGAGAATATATTTCAAACCGTTCTCATTGAAGGTAGCGGCAGGGTGGGTGGGTGGGGGGGAGGGAGAGAGCTTGCTGTAGACCCATTGTGGCCTTTGTCTTTTAATATGTGCTGTTTGTATGTAGGAATTTCTGACTTGCAAAACAGAATATCCTGACAAAAAAAAATCCCAAACCAATGTCTTGCTCTAAGGATTCGTCACCACCCTCAGGATTGCTGCAACATGCAGGATGGGGTGCAGGTATCAGCCTGGAATCTCCCCATACAGCAGTGAACAGCTCCCAGGTGAAACAGTACTAGGAAGTGGGGGGGGGGAAAAATACTATAGAATTAGACTAATTAAATTCTATTGCAGGTTAATTTTACTAGGAGCCCTTTAACCTGCTTATGGGAACTGGGAAAGCCCTGGCTTTTGCTTGAAGGAAGAAACCACACGGAATCCTAGCTCAGTTAGATTTCCCCAGGCTACGAATGGAGGCCAGCAAGCTTGCCAAGCGCCAAGATATATGGGAGGGGTGTGTGTGTAGAAGATCCCTGGGCCACATCATCAATACCACTGTCCTATAACAACAACTACCAGATAGCAAGAAATATTTTTAACACAAGTAATTTTTCTTCATGTTTTATTTATATACAGTGTGTATGAACAGCTAAAAATTCTCAAAAAAGTGGAGTTTCAACTAGCCTTTATCGTTCAAATCGAATCCACTTCCCGCACGGGAAGTAGATCACTTTCCAGAAAAACAAAAGTTTGCACAAATGATATGTATTTATAAATTACTTTGACACTGGCGAGGGTTAGTTAATTTCTACTTTAGACACTCAAAACGCTTAATTAAAAACTATAAACAGGAAATATTGTGGTACACACTAGATTGTGGAAGATCAAATCAGAAAAATAAAAATCAGAAAAACATTTTCGGGAGTCAAATCTTCTACCACTCACATATCACCTAAATATTTTTTTTTAAAAAAAAGGTAATGGAAGGAGAAAGGGATACAATATGAAATGAAAATTCAGTCATGTAGCACTGATTTTGGTTTTTGAAAACAGTAAAAGACCTGGAACTAAACCCAATGTTGATCCCTTCTCCCACTCCTTTATAGTAAAATGTGCAATCTGGAACAACTGACAGAATACGGGATGTGCCCAAGCAATTGGGTTAGTTTGTAGATGACTTTACAAACATCATTTTGTACGAGCTTTTCAGGCCGTGATTTTTGGCATCGGGCTGGTGTGGTTCGTCACTGGATTCTGCACACTCGGGAAAATGCTCCAACGCATCATCCATTTGATCTTTAGAGTCACTCAAGCTGCTGTCGGCTGTTGACTCCTCTGAAGTGCTGACCTGTTCCACTTCTGGTGGTTTAGGCTGCAAAATAGGTCAAACAAATGATTTTTATTCGATTTCTGATCTTTCAGGCGTCATCCTGGCTCAGTTTGTTGAATTCTCGTCTTTGGGTCAGAAGGTTGTGGGTTCAAGCTCCATGGTGAGAGTGACACTCAAATTCAGTATGTGAAGCATTATAGTGAAGAGATGCCTTCAAGGAACAATATAATAATCGAGGTCCCATCTTTCCATTCTTCAAGTGGGAATTAAAAGATCTCAAGGCAGTATTTGAAAAGAAAAAGATATTTTTGACAGTGACCTAGCCAACATCTGGTGAATAATTTTAAAAATATAATGAAGGATATATTATACATTAAAGGATATGGGACAAATATAAAAGGCTCACGTGGAGTTAAACGCCAGCACAGCTTTGAGGGGCTGGATGACCCATTCCTATGCTGTAACATTCTACAGTTGTTTTGTGCTGGATTCAACATTGATCTGCCTTAATTGACATCACAGCTGTATTGGATTTAATCCTGGTTTTGCCCCACCTGACAGCCATTCATAATTCATTCTGGAGGTGCAACTAGCAAACTAAAGCATGAGCCTTTGCTGCAAGTTACAGGGGAAGTAAAGTCTATGGTTATCACTTTCCAGTCAATACTCTCCCGGTTACAGAAGGGAAATATCTGGCGTTATGGATTCACAGGAACAGCCTCGATTCACTCCACTGTTCTGATGATGCCTGTTACACGGAGCAGCTAGGTGCATCCTGCAGTGAGTTTTTTCAAAGCGGTTGGAGCATTCCCAGAACCTCCAAACCTCAGGAAGGCCCGTAACGGTGAGTCAAGAGTGTAATTTGTGAGGCAGTGTAATTTCACACACAGAAAGATGGGATAAGCTAACCAGGCCTGTGAAAGATTACTGTACAGAATTAGTTGAGTCAAGGTTCCAGAGCGTGCTTAGATAAGGAGTGCAGTGAGAAAGGGAGGATAAAGAGCGAGATAGCATGTGAAGGTTACCTCGTTGAAGCCCAACCCACAATGCCGCTGATTTCTCCCTGAAAGCTGACTGTCCAAACTCTGATGAAACTGATGCTCCAGCTCCTCGTTGATTTTCTTCTCTTCGTCACCTACAAAGCAAACAATGTCACTCTCCATACCGGAAGCTTCCTGGTCATTTACTCTGTTTAGTTTTTAAGGGCAGGATTATGAGGACAGTAAACCAGCATACCAAAGACAGTAATTCTTGTATATTGTCAGTAATACCCCGATACTTATACAATGTCTTCTTGAAAGTCATTCTTGTCATTATGAATAGAATTGATAATTATAGGCCCTCATCAGCTCAGTGATGGCTCTTCTCTCAAAGTTAAAGCTGCCATTTCTCTTTGCAGGATCTCTTCCAAAATTGATCCACTTAAAATGAAATGTAGGGGTAAAATTTGAGGTAGTTTTAAAGTGTTTGTTACGTTAATAATGAAGAAATGATTGACAACTACCAAAAGTACCATCCCTCTCCAGGTAAGCGCCACAATCCTCTTCCATCTTTCCCAGAGTCTTTTCTCAGAGAGGAATTTTTTGTCTCTGGTATGAGTTTAGTGGACTGTTTGTATTTAATTCATTAACTAAAGAGATGAGAAATCCATGCTCTCCCCATCTTGGAAACAACAAATGATCCCAAGACCTAGGCCTGATAATCACTTAAACATTATTTAAAAGGGGAGATCATGGATATTTCCCTCTTCAGGTTATCAAGCCAGAAAACAAGGGCCAGGACCACCTAAAATAACGACTGAGGGAAATGCCCATTTTTGTCCTCACCTGTCCTGAAGTGACTTGTGGTTGACTTGTGATCTCCTGTATGGAGCCGGCCAGTCTGATCCTTCTGCTGAAAAACACAGCACATTGCACGGTCAAGTAAGCAGGAGCGAAGAAAATGCTCTCAGGGTTGCCATCAAGCACTCTAAGACTAGATCCCAGAAACATTCTGACTATATTAGCGTTTGGTTTTCACACCTGCTACCTTTGTGATTTCACCTTTCAGGCACTATACCCTGAAACTCTGGAACATTCTTCCTCTATTCCTCTGCCTTGCCCCTTCCTTCCTCATTTTCAGGTCGCGGCTGAAAACTTCCCATTCGACCGTGTCTATAGTCACCTCCCCCTCCCCGGCTCAGTGTCATGCTCCACCACTGTCAAGTGCTCTGAGACGCTACCCTGCGTGAGGGTGCTATATAAGTGCAAGTTGTTGTTGCTGTTATTTTTTAAAAATGCAAGTTGATGTTGTCATTGTTACCAATCCGTTTCGCTCTCAAAATTGTTGAGATTACTAGTTCTTCTGTCTTGCGAACCAATTGAACATGCGAACGGTTTGTTTTAAAGCTTGTAGGCACACAGCTTAAGGAAGGGGCTCTACAATGTTTTTACCCTCTAAAAGACTGTCATGATTTTAGGCAGACTGCAGTTTAAGCTGTAATACTCTCTCCCATCCCCAATTTAACAACAACAAAATTACATTTGTAAAGGGCCTTTCACGTCAGTAGGACGTCCCAAGGCACTGGATAATCAATATTTCAGACCCAAGCTGGGGGTCGGGATTGGGGAGGTAGGGGAAGGAGGGTGATCGAAGGCACGGTCAAAGAGGAGGGTCTTGAAACGGTTCTTGAAGGAGGCAAGGAAGGGGGAGAGGCGGAAGGACTATGGCATGGAGTTCTAGAGGGTGAGGGCAGAGTGGCTGAAGGCCCGCCCACCAATGGTGGAGCGGGCGAGGCGGGGGACGTGAATCATGCCGGAGGCGGCTGAGCGGAGGGGGCTGGTTGGTAGGGGGTTAGGAGGTCGCAGAGGTAGGGGGGAGCAAGGCCACGAAGGGCTTTGAAGGTGAGAACTGTATCCTCTGCGTGATGGGAAACCAATGGATTCGGACGAGGATGGGGGTAATAGGGTCACAGAGCCCGGTGCAGGACAGGACACAGGCTGCAGGGAGTTTGCATAGTCAAGCCTGGATGTTATGAATGCATGTATGCAGGTGTCGGCGGCCTGCGGCGTGAGACAGTGGTGGAGCTGGGCAATGTTGCAGAGGTGGGGGAAGGCAGAGTGGGTCATGGCACGGATGTGGGGTAGAATGGATAGCTGAGGATTAAACAAGATGCCATGGGTCCGGGTTGGTTTAGTAAGGTGGAGTGTGCCATTTTTAAAGGGTGGACATGAAGAGGTTTATGATGTCTGTGAGTAGAGGAGTAAGGAGGTTGGAGCTGGGAGGAAATTTTTTTCCAGGGGCGGTAGGAGATAGCAGTGGATTGGGTGGAGGTGGCGAGAGGGATTGAGGAGTTAAGGGAGATGAAATGATGGTCCAAGATGGTTTTGTCGGTGATGGTGAGCTCCGAAACAGTGAGACCCTGGGTGATCATCAGGTTGAGAGGGTGATCGTGGACGTGGGTGGTGGAGTGATGTAGAGGGAGAGGTTGAGGGAGGAGGGAAAAGTCAACAGAGATACAGCAGGAGGGGGTGAAGTGAAGGTTGAAGTCGCCTAGGATGAGGAATAGTTCGGAACAGAGGGAGAGGGAAGATAGGAGGGTGGAGATGTTGGAGAGGACAGTGGCGGAGGGCTTGGGGGGGGCAATAGGTAAGGAGAATTTTGAGGGAAAGGTTGGAGGAGTGATAAAGGGTAAGGTGCTCAAAGGAGGAGAAGGTTCTGGAGGAGTAAGGGGATAGGCCGAGTGTGGACCGAGAGATGAGTCACATTGCAATCATGGCAGTTAGGTCGTGGGGTATGATGGAAGGTGTAGACGCGTGGTGTGGCCTCTGTTAGGGGGAAGGTGTCGCCTGGAGTGACCCAGGTTTTGATGAGGGCGAGGATGTTGATGTTTTCGTCGACACTAAGGTCTTGGATGGTGAGCGTTTTATTGGAGAGGGAGCGGTTTGGAACAGTTTAGAAAGCAACTTCAGTAGCCGGTACCTTCCCAGCTCCCATTAGCCTCAGGAATTTCAGCTTCCTCTCGTCATCGCCCAGGTCAGCTGAATCCCAGGTGGAGGATCCTTTACCCTGCAAAGAAGAGACCTGTGAATTCCAGAGCAGAAACAAACCTCACACTTCATTTAATAGTAGTAAATATTTTACTTATACAATAAAATGCTTTTTCTAACAAAGGCAATTAGTATTAAAGGTACTGTTCCTGCAGGATAACGTAAGTTTAAATATTAAACGCATTGACAGGGAACAATGTCACATAGTGTGCTAGTACATCACCTTTCACCTTTGGGATCTAAGCTAAAATCTAGCTCAAAGTGTCGGGAATAAAGTGTCCTCAGAAACAAATACTGTACTTGCAGACGAAAACTCTTATTTGGGACTACATTTTCTTTGTTAAAGAACTTATTCAGGTGAGTGACAAGTTAATGTTGTATAAGTTTGAAATAAAACTTTCCAGTAAGCATTGTGCAGGAAGCGCAGATGGAGTTATAACTGGACTGGCACAATGTGTCATACACCTTACATCCCTACAAGTTAGCATTTCTCTGGCAGACTACCAGGAAATAAACCATTCACTGCATGTTGCAAACATGTTACGATAGAATCTTTCTCCAATTAAATAAAAACAGGTTGCAACTATTTAAGCCAAGCTTTCAGAGTTGGGAAGAGGCCAGTCCTTAAAAACAAATGGTATATTACCGTAGGCTAATATGTAGTACTTGGAAGCTCGTGTTCAATGGTAAATTGTAGCAATCAACCTATTGCTTGACTGATAAATCAATAAATACATCTTAGTTTCCCAGTTGCAACTGCCCAGGTGGTAATGATTGAAATTATAAATCCCTTCAAGTCATGGCACTTCCCTAACTTTATGATCTCCTCCTGTACTACTTCTCTGCTAACTTGTGGTTTATGCATATCCTTCACCCTATCTCCTCCATCATCAGTTATTGAGCTATCAGATTCTACGCTCTTAACCTCCGGAATTCCCTCTCTACCATATGATGGCTCACCCTTCTCTCGGTCTTTAAGTTCGGCCTTAAAACCTACCTCTGTTCTCTATGCTCACCTTCCCCATTTCTCTCGGCTGAGCATTCAACCTCAACATTGTAAAGCACTCAGCCTACAAGACGGGCGCTATATACACGAGCGGCAAGTTATTGTTACAGAGAAGAGGAAGGTCTAGGTCGAGTTAGCTGATGTCAGCCAAAGTACTAGAGTTGGCCTTGGTACCCCTCCAACAAAGAATATCTATCACTCTTACCCACCTCCCTCAATGAATCTCTCTCTGACCAGTCGTATGACCTCAAAGATGGGATCCTTGAGCAAGGTAACCGATACCTGGCACACTCTCCCCCCCCCCCCCTCACCCTCACTCTTCATCCCCAGCACCATCACAAACACCTCTCTTCCTCTCACACTCCTCCGACTCCCCATCTATCCCCCCCCACCCATAGCCTCTCCCCCCCCCCACCCATTACTCTCACACACACTTCCCCTATTCGTCACTTTACCCCTAACCTCTCAGACACCCCCCCACTCCCCACCCCTCCTTATGTTCACAGACTCTCTCCCCCCCCTCTCCCCATCTCGTCCCCAAAGGCACTATACGAATGTAAGTTGTTGTTGTTTACAGCCCCCCCCACCCACACTAGCCCCCTGTGTTTACAGCCCCCCCACCCACACTAGCCCCCTGTGTTTACAGCCCCCCCCACCCACACTTGCCCCTGTGTTTACAGCCCCCCCCCACCCACTGCCCCCTGTGTTTACAGCCCCCCCCACCCACACTTGCCCCCTGTGTTTACAGCCCCCCCCCACCCACACTTGCCCCCTGTGTTTACAGCCCCCCCCCCCCTCTTTTACAGAGCCCACCCCACGTGAAGGGCGCTATATAAACGCAAGTTATTGTTTACAGCGCCGCCCCCCCCCCACCCCATTTCCTGTGACACATACTCCCTCTCGTCCTCTCCAGCCCCCACCACTCCCTGTGTTTACAGCCTCTTCTCTCTCTCTCTCTCTCTCTCTCTGTTATTGTCTGGACCCAGAGCCAGGCCCAGGCCTCGGGCTCCACGACGCACCGAGAGAGAGAGAGAGAGAGAGGGGGGGGTGGAGGTGAGGGGGGGGGGAACGGCAGTTAACAGGCAATTACATTGGGTGAGGCGGGCCTCTTGGCGCCGTGCTCCGCTGCCCGCTCTCTCGGCGGCCTCCTGCCCGAGCTCATGGTGTGCGGTTCGGGCCCGAACTCCCGCCGCCGCCGCCGCTGTTGTTGCTCCTCACTGTCCGCCCGTCCGCGACTCCCAGTGGCCTCCGCGCGCACCCTGCCGCGCCCGCACTGCACCCTGGGACTTGCAGTCCCGATTCCCGGCCGGCACCGCGGCACCGTTTCCCCTTCCCCTCCCCCGAGAACTACAACTCCCAACGTGCACCGCGCTTTACCTTATATACACACATACGCACACACAGGCAGATGATGTTGGTTCAGTTGAGCAGTTCTCAATAGAAGGATAATAATAATAATAATAATAATAATAAAAAACCTTGCATTTGACGTAACGCCTTATCACGTCTTCGAGACGTCTCAAAGCGCTTCACAGAATATACTGCAAAAGTGAATCGACTCTATCTTTGGTGGGTGAAACGGACTGGGAACGACGACGACAACATCCACTTGCATTTTTTTTTAAAAAGATAACAGCAACAACAACTTGCATGTATCATAGCGCACTTCACGAGGGGTAGCGTCCCAGAGCACTTAACAAGAGGCGCTTATCCAGACAGTTTACTGGCATTATCTTTCCCAAAGGAGAGATTCGGATGAAGATGGTCCTTCCGCCCCCTTGATCTCATCCTACCAACATTCTTGCCCTACCATCCTCCCATTTTCTTAAAACAAGTCCCATAACCCCTGTCTTCAACAACCCCTTTTGTGGTAACCAGCTCCAGTTGTTAATTGCCCACTGTTTAAATTGTCTGCCCTGAAGTTTCCTTTAGAAGTCGCAGAACTTTACAGCACAGAAGGCCATTTGGACCATTGTGATTGCTGGCTCTTTGAAAGAGCATTCCATTCATTCCTGTTTCCCAGCCTTTTTCCCATATCCTGTCAATTACTCCTTTTTAGATATCTATATAGCTTCCAATTCAAAGCTTACATGGATTTGGTCTTGATCATTGGACCTGGGAGGGCATTCTACCTACTAACACAACTCTTATGTTGAAAAAAGTCATCTAATTGCTCGAGTGCTTACTTTTTCAAATTGATGTACTTTGGATCGCCAGAGTGAGGAAAGACGGAGCAGTTAACACATGAGCTTTGCTTGAGTGCAGCTGCCACATTTTCTTTTGGAAACTGACTATTTTTTGTGTGATTCTGAGGCAATGGGATTCCCAAAATAATCTGGAGAAATTTCAGTGCTGGGAAATTCAGACTCACTTCATTATGGGCCTATCTCTGCCAGTAAGCCCACAATGAAAAAGTGGCATAAAGGACATAGTTTCTCCAGGCGAGAAAATCACCACCTTAATTAATAGAAAGCTGGCTGTTGTAAAGCTTCTCTTATTGCAGGGCTCTGGTCCCACAGGTCCTGGTATTATATTATAATACAGTAGTAATAATCTTTGCATTTCATGTAGTGCCTGTTAATCTGGGCCAATAGAAAAGTGCAGCCGCAATTTTTCCACGAAATGCGCTATAAACCGTGCCCTCCGCTATAAACCCGCTAAACAATGACGTTTCTGGATTTGGGACTCCCTGCTGTTTACCCGACATCACTGTGGGCAGGGCAGCTACAAGGGCAATGGACTTGCAAGAGACCAGGAGCCAATACTTAAACCCTCACACTGGACCGATAGGTGGTGACGCAGACCTGGGAGGAACGACCCTCAACGTTCTGCAAAGCGAAAAGTGGACAGGTTAGAAGCTGTGATTCTCATGTGTGTGTCTTTCTCTCTCTCTCTCTCGTGTGTGTGTGTGTGTGTCTCTCGCTGTGTGTTTGTGAGTGTCTCTACGTGAGTGTATCTCTCTTCTCTGTATGTGTTCGTGAGTGTCTGTGTGAGTGTGTCTTTCTCTCCATGTGTGTTTGTGAGTGTGTCTCCACAATGTAATGACAAGATCAAAAGGGAGGTTGGTATGAATTTGAGGTGCCATCCATTGCTGAGACGTTAATGCGAGACCCCATCTGCCTTTCCCATCTAGCTGGGTGGTAAAGATCCCATGGCATTATTCAAAAAGAGAAGGAAGTTCTTCCTGGTGTCCTGGCCAAAAAATACCCAGATAAAATCAGTCATTCACTTCATGTCTATTTGTGGGACATTGCTGTGCACAAATTGGTTGCCTACAAATACACAGTCACTTCACAGTAAAATCCTGTGAAGCGCTTTAAAACAGTTTGTCGACATAATAAGGCAATGTATCAAATGCAGAGATTATTATTATTACATTCTTCACTTCAAACATGCAATAAAAAGTTGCTTCTGAAGTTGCCTCTAGTCAGTGGTGTCAGTCCATCATCTCTGTAGTTTATGATCTTGGAATTGAACTTGTCGCCTGTTAAAACAGTTTAAGCTTTTTCAATTAGTTAACAGATTTTCACATAAAAATTTCAACTAAATTGTAAAAGATTTTTCATAATAGCCAATTAAGGCTGACTGCGCCAGAACATTTCAATGATTACAACAAAACTTATTGGCTAAATACTTTATCAGGGCTTGCAAACAGATTTACAGGTCCCACGACACTGTTCATAATGTATTTTAACCCTCATTATAACAAATTGCAGCTGTAATTATTCTGGCAGCAACAGGAAGTGTCAATGGTGCCATCAAAATTTCCCAGATATGCTTTCAACACATGGGAAGCAATTGAAACACACGGGGTGAAAAGAGATGATTTATTTCTCTGTGGTGCCTCTGCAGGGTATTGAAGGAGTAAAATAAACCTCAGGGAGAAGGAACATTTAGCTGATTTACTGTAACAAGGAAGATCTGTTAACAACACACTCCACTAGAATACAGTTCCATGGGTGTTAGATACTCTCATCCGCCAAATGCAAATCCCTTTATGCCCTGGCACCTCCCTACCTCTCCGACCTGCTTACTCCCCAACCTACTACCCGCTGTCTCCTCTCGGCTGGCTCCAGCCTCTTACTTGTAGTTTGTGCCCTCTGTTCCACCAGCCACTGCACTCCGAAACTCTGGAACACTCTTCCTCTATCCCTCTGCCTTGCCTCCTCCTTCCCCATCTTCAGCCCAGGCCTGAAGACCTTCCTCTTCGACCATGCTTATGGTCACCTCCCCCAGCTCGGCATCATGCTCTGCCACTGTCAAGCACTCTGGGACGCTACCCTGAGTGAGGGGCACTATATAAATGCAAGTTGTTGTTGTCCAAGTGACCATTCTCCACACGTAAGCCTAGATAATAAGGCTTTTCTCATTACTTTACGACCCTTGGTATAACATGGCACGTTTCCTGTTTGTGACAAAATCGGGTTTCTACGACACATTGAAGGAAGTTAGCCAGTCTCTTGCGAGTGTTTTGAAATTTTTGCAACTGTCCGGATGCCTTCCTGCGTTCAATGCACTTGCATGGGAAGCTGGCCAACCTGTGCCGCAAAGTGACGTCGTCGGTGACTTGTGACCAGGAAATGGGCCCGGCGGATATTTTATTTTACAAACTGCTGGGAACCCAAGCCATGTCCACCTGCTCATGGAAGAGAGAGGAAGTGTCTCGAAGGACGGCAATGGAGTGCACCCGCAGCACTGCACTGGAGAGCCAACTTAACCTATAACCTCAGAGTTCCCATGTGAGGCTTGAACCTACAACTTTCTGACTCACAGGTAAGAGTGCTACCGCCTCACGCCTTGCCTTTTTTNATAAACCTAGAGGAGGACTTTGGGTTGAACCAAAATGTGAAGTCATTGGTGGGAGACGATGACTGGGATTAACCCTTTGGAGGGTTTCAACATCAGCGTCCAGGTACGATAAGAGCTCCACAGAGCAAGGATATCAGAAAGGTGGCTTCGTAAATGTAATTTCTACTGGTTTGTATGTCTCAATTCGACATTAGGTGGTGCAGCTATTCTCGCAAGTGTCAATTTGGCTGAGTTGGTAGCACACACACCTTTGAGTCAGAAGATTGCGGGTTCAAGTCGCACAGTTCCAAAGATTGGGGATTTTTAAGCTGCTTGTCTATCCTGACACTCAGGTACAACAACAACAACAACAAGATTGCATTTATGGAGCGCCTTTCACGTCGGGAGGATGTCCCAAGGTACAGTGTTGGGCTGAACGCTGCATCATCGCTGCATGAGACATTTAACCCAAGCTCTCATCTGCCTATTTAGCCAAACGTTAAAGAACTCACAACACTATTTAAAAGAAGAGAGCTTCTCCAAGTGTGCTGGACAGCAACAATCCTCCAGATAAATCAATTATTCACCTTGTAACTTTGAGGGATACTGCTGTGTGCAAATTGGCTGCTACGTTCACCTATAAAGGCCCGTTACTTGAATTAAAAATAATTGGTGTGATGCGCTTTAAGATTTTCTCACGTGATAAGGTGCTATTGTGTGTAAAATACAAGGACTTTTATTAATAAGTAATTTTTGACCTTAAGAGATAAATACTGAAGTAAGCACGTGAAGTTAACCCCTGAATATTTCTTTGGAGGAAATCGCTCACCTCTATTCACTGGAGAGCCTGACAGACTGAATAAGATTTCCAGTGGGAATTCAGATCAAACTGGTAACAACAACAACAATTTGCATTTATAAAGTGCCCTTCACGCAGGGCAGTGTCTCGGAGTTCTTGATCCTGCTACAGTGTACCAGTGTTTTCATATACCAGGTCCAATAACCACTGTTAGTGTTTGCTAGTGTCCAACTGATAGGATCCTGAAACATTTTCAATTTAAAGATACATGAACAAGCGGCTTACGTCAATAGACCAAAACCTCACAATGTTGGAAAGAGTGTAAGGAAGGATTGGATCATTCAGGAAGCAGAGGGTTGAGTTGCTCTAGGCACAAACCTTTAAAGCCTTAAGGTTCCAGTTGCAGTAACAATAATAATCCTTGCATGTCATATAGCATTTTATCACATTGCCAAGATGTCTCACGGCGCTTCACAGGAATTTATAAGAATATAAGAATTTGCTGGTGAAAGAAGACCAAGGTCCATCTAGTTTACCATTTAGTCCACCATTCTGGCAGTCGCTTGACATGTTGTGTCCCAAACTATACCCTATATATTATTTTCTAGCAGAAATCTATCTAATTTGTTCTTGAAACACATGACATTTTCTGCTTCCACTGTCTTCCTAGGGAGCCTGTTCCATAAGTTTACTACCCA